TACAATTATTTTAATCTAAAGTGATTAAGTATAATTACGAATTACTCGGAAATGTAGTAAAATTACAGTGCATTCAATAAACAAATAAATTCAATTGCTGTAATTGAAGTACTACCCATTTGTGTTAGCCACCGACTTGGGTAGTCCACTCGCGAGCAAGAAAAGTAAAATGAATCGTAGATATGCATCATTAAAACCTGGTGCATACGGTGCACCATTGCAAGAAAACGGCAAAATGAACGATAGAAGAAATCGGTCTTTCGCAGCGTTACAAGTTACTGTATGCTCGAACGAAAAATAAACAAAAAGAAAATGAGTACGTTGCACTGCATATTTCTCTAACTTTACAATCATATTGCATTCTCTGTTAATTGACAGTACTCCTCTTATCACATTCAGGTGGCGAAACCTCAGTCGTGAAAAAAAAAAGGGGGGGGGGGGGGAGCTGACAACATCTCAATATTTGGAACTTCCGTTTTCTTTTAGCCAAGTTTCATATTAATTTAGATCATGGGTTTCCAGGTGCGGAGGGTGCGCGGCGAATGCAAATGACATGGCTTGTATTCATCACGTTTAAGTCAGTTTATGCACCTCCCCTTCCCTCAAACGTTTCATTTATTCACAACTGCCATCCCCAATGCCGTTAAAAAAAATCATTGTCTTTTGCAGTGAGTGTGACCTACATAGGTACTGGAGACCAACGACAACTTGCCATGCTTGAGGAGAGGCATCTGCAAAAATTGAAGCCTGTTTTGCCGTGAAGGTGTGTCTCAATTTCAGGCACATCTTCTCGGCAAAAGAGGGTTCTGAGAGGAGCTTATCCTGCTATTCTTGCAAGTGACCGTCCTTTGAATCACCTTTGTTTTGTTTTGGCCTTTTTTTTAATTTTGGTGATTATGATATATACCAGAAAACTCACCCCTTTAGTTGGAGTTGTGCGGCGTGTGAATATTACAAATTCTGCAACCCCTTGCACGTAAAAGGTGGTGTTCAGGTGGTTATCATAAAAAACTGAAAGTTAATTTATGAAAAACAAATGTAACGATGTACCCAAGTCTGGCAGAGTATCGCAATACAAGAGATATATCGCGCATGTATCTCACTACTGAAATACAAATACACTTTAAAAGTATCTAGATACAGATATACATATATTGGAAAGAATCTTTAAAACAATATCGCGATACATTTGAATCCCAATATTACTTAGCCCTGAAAAAAAAAAAAAGTGAGAAAACTGTTTATGGTAAGCAGTGTCCTCTCGTCATATTATTTACTAAACATTGTCCTTACCAGTATCATCATTCTTAGTCGCTGTTTCATATCTGAGTAAGTTTGTACGTTAAAAGTCCTGTGTATTTCCATGTATATATTGTGTTCGGCATCGTGTGTCGTTTCTATTGTACAAAATCCCCCCCCCCCCCCCCCAAAAAAAAAAAAATTACTGTTTTTTTTTGTTTTGTTTTTTTTTACCAAAAAATAAATTACGCATCACTGAACGCTCATACTCCGCCCAAATGTGGCAGATGCCAGATGCCAAAGTTTCAGAATTAACCGCTATCTCAATCAAAAGTTTTAGGTGATTTTCTCAAAATTTCGATGCGAAAATGGTGCTCGTTTTCGTCCGTTTTCGGGAACAGGCGCCATTGAGCTTCACACACTTTAAGAAGTCCATCGGCCGTCATTTTCGCATAGAAATTTTTAAAAAATCGGTTATAAGTTTTGAATAAGATAAGGGTTAGTTCTGAAACTTTGGCATCTGGTTCGGACCAATAGGACTACATTTGGCACGAGAATGAGCGTTCGGTGATTCATAGTTTATTTTTGTGGCAACTTTTTTTTTTTTACGGTAATTTTTTGGGAAGAACATTTTATATATTGTCCAGCATCAGTTCTATTCTTCTCATTAGTTTCCTACCCCGCTGGATTATGCCAAAGGTCGTATGCGCTATCATTTATGCCTGGTGAGTTTTTTGGGGTCCCCATTATTGTGTAATGCCATAGTTTTTAGCTTAATACTATATTTAAAAATAAAGTACATGTCTTCATCCACCTTTCATTCTTTATTTCTTTTTTTTTAATTTTTAATATATCTTTCAATTTTGTGTTTAATAATTGCTTACTTAGAATTATTTATTTAGTTTTTTATTTATTTATTTATTTATTTATTTATTTATTTATTTATTTATTTATACTTATTTCCTTTTCGGCTTTCGAGACAGCGACAGGTCCCCGATCCGGCTCCCTGACGAAAAAGTTTGGAGACCCCTGATTTAGATCGTGGGGTCGTCCAAAATTGATCGTTCAACGTGTAGTTGATATGCGAACAAGGGTGTCATAAGTACAGCGTTGTTCTTCCTGGCGTTGCATGAAGGTGATTGAAACCGGCAATTTACGAAACTGTGACGTCTGTTGCCGAACGCGGAACGTGAGAACGCCAGGGAGGAGCTACAGTGGTCCCGCTTCCCCCGCCAGCTTCCCGCCTTCGACAATGCTTTAGCGTCCCGTGCACCTCGAGCGCGCGCGCGCAAAAGCACGGCGGAAGGCCGCGCTTTGACTGCGCGCGTGCTCGAGATGAATTATTTAATACCTTTATACCAGAAAACGCTTTGCTAGGAAACAGACGTAACTCATCGCTCAATGTAGGGTGCCTACATGTCTGTCTGTCTCAGGGTGAAGACATATCCTTTGTTGCACTAATGGCGAATTCGGATGGTCAATCGCCGGCGCGCCCTTGCCGGTGCACCGGCGACCGAAAACGCGCCAGCGGCGCACCGCGTGACCCTCTCCACTCCATAACAAAGCGCCGGCGGCTGGCGTTTTTATTTGCCTGGGTCACGCGTGAGCTTTGTTAACTGCTTCTTCGGTTGATCTATGGTACAATGAGCGCGCTGTACGCATCAACAATATAAATTCCGACTTTCTGAGATAGGTGTAAACACAAGCGGCTTCAAAATAGTTTTCGAAATATTAACCTTATTACAGTTCGCACAGCTTACAGGATCTTAAATTATAAAATGAATGGAAGGGCACAATAATAAGTCGGTGTGGTGTTGCCCGCACACGCGTCAAATTTCAATATATTTAGTTTATGTTTCCGAAGAACCGTTGCCCTTTCACTAGGATCCCAAGGAGGCCTTGCCGGTGTCGATAATATTATGTTTTATTGTTAATAGATTTTTGTTTTATCCTCAGTTTTTTTATGCGCCCACCTCCCTTGAAATTGTATTGTAATCGTGTTAAATTGTCAAACTTCATCCCAATTCACTTTTTTTTTTACAGCGATTTAATAACGTGATACTACACCGCTGTAAAAAAAATATATATATATATATATATATGTATGGATTGTAATGCAGCCCGTGTCCCAGAGCAAACGGACCTTGCGCAGGCTGCACAAATTCTTCTACATGTTCTGACTTCCTTTAAAACATTAATTGTCTTTATCTTCGTTGTTTTTGCTATCTTGTCTCGAAGGAAAAAAAGGGCGTCTGTCTATCAGGATGGCTTCGGTTGCGACTCGAACCCGCTCTTTGCCGCTTTCGGCGAGCTTTGTTTCCTTTGGTTCCCTTTCTCGATTCGGATATGACGATACCGTATACAGTCTGGCAGACAAGCTGCCGGAACTCTTCGAGCTCGGGCTAAAATCGCGCCGGAACACTGCCGGCTCGCGCCTCAAAAGCTCCACCCCGAACAGCCTGCACTCGCCAGCCTTCGGACCCCGCGAACGCCCTTGCCAAAGATATTGCAAAATATTTTGCCGGGAAATGACCACCTGAATTCGCCGTAAGCATTAGCCAACGCTAAGCGCTCGAGCGGAGTCACACCAAAATGCACTAAAAAAAAAATAAATAAATAAAGGCGGAGGAAAAATTGCTGAGATGTCACCACTCAATTAAAAAGCGCGTGTGAATGACGAAGGCACTCTAGCTCAACGTTTCTTCGTTGTAAATTATGATAGAGAAGAGTTCTGCCCCTCATTTTCCTATTGAACAAATCTAAATCACTGTGTTGCAACTCGCTAAGATGATGTGAGCGATTTATTTGAAGGTGATATGACCTATTGTGGTCGTGTTGGTGAAGGATGTGCGTGCACGGCTTTAATCGGCCGGCGCTGAAGGTAGGGCGAGGGAAAGGGGGTGGGAGAGGAGGAATCGGACACAACGTTGTACACAACCTGTTGACGCAACATTGGCAAGGGGAGGGGGTTTCCGCCTCTCCTCGCCAGTGTTGCTTTCATTTCCTCCTCTCCAACCTTCCTTTCCCTCGCCTTACCTTCTTGTGCCCATAGCTTTGACTAACGTTTGACTGCAAATTTACCCACTTCCGATAGCAGGAAGTTTTTTTACACTAAATTTTTATAAGCCACCAGGCTCATATTTTTAAACGGTGTTTCTTCCGCATAATTCCAAACATTTGAACGCGAAGGTTCAGGATACTGTTCTATCAACTGATTGCACCTTAAAATGAAATGACTGCATAACGATATCCTGTGCTTCACCGTTTACTGCCTCCTGCCGGTGTTCGCTGCTTTGAAACGCCGCCTCGTCGTTTTTCTTTTTATTTCAGTCAAATAACTGGGAGAAAAAAAAAATTGGTGTAGTTCGTGGCGCCATCTTACGTAATGAATACATACTGCAACGAGTTGCTCCAAGCGCTTGTACAGCACTTGAGTGATTCGAATGGAGATGGCGCTAGATACATCCTTTTGTTTTAACGTTTGTGAATTTTAATACAATATGAAACTTCTCATGCTATCGCAGGTAAGTAGAAATAGTGTAAAACGCGACAGAGAAATGCCACAACTGATGCCCACGACAGTGCGTTCGCGTCTGGTATCACACAAAAGACGCCTTAACGCAACTACGTGAGCGCAAGGATTCTGCTGGTGCTGCCATCTCTGGAACGATCAGCGTTCTATTTCAAACGTTTTGTTATTCGTCGGATGTCGCCGCATATCTTTGGTAAGACTTCTTGGCATGTTTGCTCTTATCTATTCTAATATGCTTAGCTTCGACGCCAACTCTATGCTTACCCAAGCAGCTTTCGTTCTGTAATATCTACGGAAGTTCGAGTTCACGTACTGTCGTTTCTGCGGAGGGTGTGCACAGCAACTTACGTCGGCCCTCCTTCCCTTAGCGCACATTCGCAGCTGGCGTATCAGCTGACAAGAATCTGTTTATTTTCTCTAACCGTTAGGCTTAAAACCTAACAAACTCTCAGCTGAACTTTTATACGTCTCTGTTCTGTGAAAGTTTTCGCCTTTATGTTCTGCGCAGGTGAGCCGCGCTACTTCAACACTGTAAACAAAGTTCCGCCTCTTTACAGCTGTTCGCTGGAAGTGATGTCGGATGATGCGCAGTACTTCGGACCTTTGAAGTTTATTATCGCGCTACTAAAGAGTGCAATTTAGCCGACCCGTTTCAAGATCTGTGTTACTACGAAAGTGAAACGATGAAACTTCTCCACCCCCGCTTGTATTCTTTCTCGGCAGGATGGCGTCTCATGCGATGTTCAGGAGAGCTCTAACCTGCACGATTCCTTCGATGTCTCGACCCAGCACGATGGTCAAGACCCGCAAGCAACCCAGCTCCGACATGGCAGCGTTTCGGGAAGTCTTCAAGTCGGCGCAACACGTCGTGGCTTTGACCGGAGCTGGTATCAGCGCCGAAAGCGGTGTTCCTACTTTCCGCGGCGCTGGAGGCCTCTGGAGAAAGTACAGCGCTCAGGTGTATTGAATGCTTATTTTCGCGTTTTAAAACAACGAAATAATTTTTCTCTCCCAGCTCCCTAAAAATTCTAACAATTTATTGAGTTCAAATGCCCAGTTGACAATAGGTTGACCTTGGCCATTACCATGGGCGTACCAACCGGGGGGGCAAGGGGGGCACTTGCCCCCCCAGTTCTCAGAGTGGGGGGGCAAGGCATGCGTTTTGCCCCCCCCCCCCCCCAGAAACGGCCGCCACTGGGCAGAGCAGACACAGGCCGGCGGCGCCCAAGGAATACCAAGGGCACTGCCCCCCGACCCGCACGGGCATATTTTTAACGCGCAGGCGATACAAACCCTAGCAACGGTGCTCACGCACGCCGGATTGGCTGGTTCGTAAAGCCTTGCTCCACGAACAAGGCTACACAGTAACCTTACGGAATCCATCCGCGAGACATGGGCCGGACGGGCCGTCCAGACCAGGACGTAGGCCCTTACACAAAATAAAGTTTTGCTTGCTTGCTTGGAGATAGGCGCTGCCGCCGTCAACATAGGCAGCGGATGCAATGCGAGTTTCCGAAGAGGTAGCGTAACTTAGGGGTGAGATGTCTGCCTCATACGTGTCAGACCCGGGTTCTATTTATGGTGTGGGCCGGCTTACTTCTTTTTATTTTTTTTTTCTCGAACATTTTGTTTTGTCGAGGCATTTGGCGATATTTACATTTCTTTTTTACCATTAACACTAAAAAAAACGAATGTTGTTGACGAAACATCGCTAAACTAAATCGTATCGACTCTATTTACGGAAGTGCATGGGGGGCAGCGGGGCTTGGGTTGCCGACCGGACGCCGCAAAGGGCGTGTACGGGGGGGGGGGGGGGGGGGGGGGGGGGGGGGGGCGGGCGGGCTAGGTGGGTTAATAGATTTGTAATTAGCAGCCGCACACCGTCACCGCGAAGCGGCGTGAACGCAGGCGCGGGGGTGGGTTAACGCGCTTCGAGTGATACACGAGCAGCCCATCCGGCGTGAGCGTCGTTGTTAGGGGTTCTATCGCCTGCACCGTAAAAGGAGCAGTGTGTGCACCTCCTGTAGTGGGCAAGAATTCCTACATTGGAGAGAAGCGGGGACAAGCCCTCTCTTCAAATGCGTCAAGTCTCCTTGAGCTTCGGAATACAAAGAAACGCCACTATTCGAAGCTAATCCCACAGTTACTCGACCTCTCTTGCGTCGTGTCTGTTCGCTCCCCGCGCCTCGTAGCAGTGTTGTTGCAGTGGGGGGGCTCGTTAAAATTTTGGGGTTTTTTGGACTATCTAAATCAGTTTCTTCCTTCCCATCCCCCCCTTTTCTACTCCGCATGCTTCCCCCTCTGCAAATATCAGCTGACCTTCCGACCTCTGTTCTCTGTTGATAGGCAAAACAACCACTAAAATTAGAAAGTAATTTGTAATTTGAGTGGAAGTCACTCGGAAAAGTAGTTAAAGTAAACTACTGATTACTAGAATAGAAATGTAATTAAAAGTTACTAAACTACCCAGAAAAGTAGTTAAACTACAGTAACTTGAGTAAAGTAGTTGAACTACGTACAAGTCTGGCCTGGCAAGCGCTCTGCGTAAGTGTTTTCACTGATCTGCCTAGCCCCGCACACCATCACATGGGCCAAGAAAGGTGTAGTTTTACTGCAGAGGAGAAATCAGCAGGGTCTAAGATGGTGACAATGGAGGATGGGGGACTGTTCCAGTGGCTGATGGTTTGAGAAAGGAATGACCAATTGAAAGCGTTCGTAGAGCCAGAAGTGTGTTTGATGGTGCAGACGTTGTTGAGGCGAGAAGATGTTCGGTCGAGGGGTAATAACAAAGTGGTTTTGAGGTCGGGAATGTGGTAGTAGATTTTGTGAATAAGGCACAGCTGAGAGACTTTCCTGCGAAGCTGCAAAGAGGACATGGTTAGTTCAGTTTTTAGCGCCGAGACACTGAAAGAAAAGTCATAAGTGGATGAAATGAAGCGAGCAGCTCTGTTCTGAACTGCCTCTACAGCGTATTGATGAGGTACAGTCGATGGATATTCCAGATGGTTGAAGCATATTCTATTTTTGGTCTGACGTACGTGTTAAAGGTTAGCTTAGGGACAAAGGGTGGAGATTTGTAATTAGCAGCCGCACACCGTCACCGCGAAGCGGCGTGAACGCAGGCGCGGGGGTGGGTTAACGCGCTTCGAGTGATACACGAGCAGCCCATCCGGCGTGAGCGTCGTTGTTAGGGGTTCTATCGCCTGCACCGTAAAAGGAGCAGTGTGTGCACCTCCTGTAGTGGGCAAGAATTCCTACATTGGAGAGAAGCGGGGACAAGCCCTCTCTTCAAATGCGTCAAGTCTCCTTGAGCTTCGGAATACAAAGAAACGCCACTATTCGAAGCTAATCCCACAGTTACTCGACCTCTCTTGCGTCGTGTCTGTTCGCTCCCCGCGCCTCGTAGCAGTGTTGTTGCAGTTGGGGGGCTCGTTAAAATTTTGGGGTTTTTTGGACTATCTAAATCAGTTTCTTCCTTCCCATCCCCCCCTTTTCTACTCCGCATGCTTCCCCCTCTGCAAATATCAGCTGACCTTCCGACCTCTGTTCTCTGTTGATAGGCAAAACAACCACTAAAATTAGAAAGTAATTTGTAATTTGAGTGGAAGTCACTCGGAAAAGTAGTTAAAGTAAACTACTGATTACTAGAATAGAAATGTAATTAAAAGTTACTAAACTACCCAGAAAAGTAGTTAAACTACAGTAACTTGAGTAAAGTAGTTGAACTACGTACAAGTCTGGCCTGGCAAGCGCTCTGCGTAAGTGTTTTCACTGATCTGCCTAGCCCCGCACACCATCACATGGGCCAAGAAAGGTGTAGTTTTACTGCAGAGGAGAAATCAGCAGGGTCTAAGATGGTGACAATGGAGGATGGGGGACTGTTCCAGTGGCTGATGGCTTGAGAAAGGAATGACCAATTGAAAGCGTTCGTAGAGCCAGAAGTGTGTTTGATGGTGCAGACGTTGTTGAGGCGAGAAGATGTTCGGTCGAGGGGTAATAACAAAGTGGTTTTGAGGTCGGGAATGTGGTAGTAGATTTTGTGAATAAGGCACAGCTGAGAGACTTTCCTGCGAAGCTGCAAAGAGGACATGGTTAGTTCAGTTTTTAGCACCGAGACACTGAAAGAAAAGTCATAAGTGGATGAAATGAAGCGAGCAGCTCTGTTCTGAACTGCCTCTACAGCGTATTGATGAGGTACAGTCGATGGATATTCCAGATGGTTGAAGCATATTCTATTTTTGGTCTGACGTACGTGTTAAAGGTTAGCTTAGGGACAAAGGGTGGAGCGATTTTTTAAGTTACGTCTGCTTAGTCCAAGAGTTCCAGATGAATCGGCGGTAATGACTTCAATGTGGTTATTCCAGGGAAGGTCAGACGTTAGTCTTACACCAAGGTATTTATACACAGTAGCGGTCTCAATCAGATCGGAGTCCAAGAAGTAATTAAATGACAGAGTGGTTTTTTTCTTGGTGAAGTGGATTAGTTTGCGTTTCTACTTGTTTGGTGACATAATCCACTCTTTGCACCAATTGTTAATTTTATCTAGATCTTCCTGAAGCTGGTTATTATTTTGCACACAAGTTACTTTGTTATGGATGACGCAGTCGTCGGCGAAAAAGCGTTTTTTTGAAGAAATCCCAATGGAATGTCATTAATAAATATTAAAAAGAGTAAGGGCCCAAGTACGAACCCCAGGGGAACACCAGGAGATACATTTATTAAGGAAGATTCATGATCATCATGGACGTGACCTGTACACGGGAAAAAAGAAAGTCACGAATCCATGCAAACGGTTATTGGTCGAGGCAAAAAGATGATAGCTTAGAAAGAAGGCGTTGATGGAGGACACGGCCGAATGCTTTGGAAAAAAAAAAAAAAAAAAAACTGCGTCAGTCTGGACGTGACATTCAAGGTTAGTGTGCAAGTCATGGATGAAGTCGCAGAGTTGCGTTTCGCAGGAAAGTACCTTTTGAAAACCGTGCTGCTGTTTAAAGAAAAGAAATGGGATGATAGGTGCCTCATGATATTGGAGTAGAGGATATGCTCAAGTAGTTTGCAAGAAATTGAAGTCAATGAATTAGGGCGATAATTAGATGCGGAAGAGCGGCTGCCCTGTTTAAAGACTGGGAATTACCCTTCCCACCTTTTGGTCAGATGGAAGGCAGCTTTGAGATGAGGACTGAATGAAGATGAGTTTCAAATACTCACTAGAAATAACACGGGTGTTTCTTTTAAATTTTAGGGTTCCAGCGGACGAAGTAAGTTTTAGTTTATCAATCAATGTTTTAATACCAGCGGAGTTAACGTTAATAGGATGCATGCGCTCGTAAAGCTCTTCAGGGAGAGTGGGGACGAAGTCCAAGCACTCGTTAGTAAACACTGATGAAAAGTATTCGTTAAACACAGAACTATCATGCTCGACGTTGCACATCCGACATTCCTAACTCTCCCCATCTTCCTAAACGTCCCCGTGTGTCCTAACACCAGAAACCGGAATTTTAAAGGTTAAAAACGGCACGTTGCGAATATGGAACGCGCACTTTCATGCAAAGCTGACGTCAAGTGACTCAAATCGAAAAACATGCATATTTACAGTATTGTTATCTCTTCTGGTGAAGGCTAAACAACCGTTGCATCCGTTTTCGCGCACGAAACGGTGACTCCCAGAGAAAGTAAGAACGCAGTGATTGTCTTTATTTTAACAATGTAAACACACTTGCAGGCGTGCGCTGATGAAGCCTCAAAATCAAAACTCTCGTAGTGTGATTCGTGACTGCTCCGGCTACTACCCAACCTCGTTGTCACTCCACTTTCTGCAAGCAAACACTAAAATTGCCAGTAAACACACAAAAGCGACATCGATACAATTATCTTGTAGAATATCACCTTATTTAATCATAACTGTTTCAATAGGCACTACAAGTTGTATTTATTTTAAGAAGAAGAAGCAAAATTTTTTTCGTGAGAAAAAACAAAATATCAATGTTAAGTCTGGTAACGTTGTAATTTTGCCTAATCATTGCCACATCTTTAGAAAACTTCGACAAAAGTTGCGCCGAATTTTCGATTAAGGGGGGGGGGGGGGGGAAGAGGGTCGGGTTTGCCCCCCCACTCAAAAACAAGTTGGTACGCCACTGGCCATTACCGATATGAGCTGTTCTCTGGCATCTAATCAGACGGAAGGGGAGAAGCAATTTGTTGACCGACATAGCCTAAACCCTCAGACGTGCAAAATAAAATAAGAAACATTTTGTTGTTTCTTGTTTGCATCAGGGTTTCGATTATGATGTTTTCTATCGAGCTTGCCTGTGTACTTCTTGCGATTGACCGAGTCGATCTGATAGCTTTCATCGGGCCTCCACTGCAATTCAGAGACAAACAAATTTGAGGAAGGCTTGCCGGAAGGCTGAGCTGAAAAGCACCTTCAATCTAGGCAGTTGTGCAGTACTTCTAGCCTCCTGTTTCTAAGTGTTGACTGACACACTGTTGCCTTCTTCTCCAAACCTGTAAGGACCTGGCGACACCATCTGCATTTCTAGCCAATCCCTCGCTGGTCTGGGAGTTCTATCACTATCGACGAGACCTTGTACTACATAAGAAACCAAATGCAGTAAGTGTTCAAACTATTCAAAGATCATAGTTTATTCTCTCTCTTTCTCTGTGTGTGAAGTGAGTCGTCGTTTCTTTGATTTGGCCTGTGGGGTTATATCATTAGTTTTCCCTTTTAAGTCCGAACTGACAATGGGGAAAACTCTGCACATTGAAGGCACCAATCGGCTGTTGTACTGAAATATCTCCCGATTGCTCCTCGTTTTTGTGGCCAAAACATAGACCCAATTTTTTTGCCCTAAATTTGAGAAATACTTGAAGGCAGTAGGTATATCCTATGGTATAAACCAAATTTTTGTATACATAACTTTTCCCTTTCTTCCTTCCACATGTTAAATACTTTATTTTCCAAGGAAAAAAAATGTTTTTTCTTATATAGTTTACGCTTAGTACATAGCCGACACATAGCGCTTTGTCTACATATAATAAGTTCTCGTACGCAGCACACCTTGAATAGTGTCTACTCATTAGCACACAAAGAAGCTTGTTTCATCATTACCATAATCTTTCATTCACAAAAAACCATCGCATTTCTCTTGATGAACAATCCTGAAAAAACACATGCTTGTATACATGGCTTTCATTGATGCCACATCAGCAGCCATTGTGGTGGCCTTGCTGGCGAGCATTCGCCACCATCGAATTTGCAGTGATGTAGTTGCTGTGCCATTTGCGCCAAATTACGCCATGAACGAAAGTCTGCAGCATCTTCTGCCAAATGCCATTTTTTGCTAAGAATTGTGCCACACCTGCACCAAAATGAGCTTAAAGCAAAAAAAAAAAAAAAAAAAAAATGTTGACCCCACCAACGAGGTAGAGGAGCTTGGATCGATAAACTGGTATCCCCTTCACCAGGCAAAAGTGACCCCCGCCTGGCTGCCTCCATGTTATACAATTTTGACCATTAGACACATGACTGTATCAAATCTTGAAGCTTTTATGCAAAACTGAGCCGAGATTTGTATTCAGATTGCTGTAAAAAACATTATAAACTATTTTTTCATTACTGTGAAGGTCTATTCACACGATGCATCTTTTAGGCGAATCTTGTGTCGAGAAACAAATTCCCCGTGTAAACGCAGCCGAAAGCCGAAAAAGTGGTGTGCCTCCTAAAAAAGTGGCGCATACTCTTCGCTTCTGGAGCAATATTTTGCTGAAACCTCACCGAGGCCTGTCAATCACCTGAAGGAGAAACGTGGACGCTGCCAATGGCCGCTCAACTTCGCTATGACGTCTGACCTTTGAGGCGTGGCAAGCTTGTGGAAAAGTGATTTTTGGCTGATTTCGTATCCGAGCCAAACCGAAAAGAGAAAAGCAAACATGGTGGCGAGCGACAAGTGGAGAAGCGGTGCGTACGGGCGATATGTGTGAGCAGTATGGGTTGGTGACGGGGTGCAGATTCATCAACAGTCGCGATGAGTGCAAGCACCGCACATGAAAAATGATGACTGGGGGCTAGCTTTCTTTGAGCGATGCACAAATGTCCAAAATGCTTCGAGATCAGTTCTTTGATGTTCGCGGTTTTTCCCGGGTTTGGCAGGCCCTGTGAGCCGACTCTGACAAAGTTTATGGAGTGCTATTAATAAAGCAGACTGTCTCTTCACACTGTGCATACTTTATATCATTTTGATGTGAAACGCTTGATATTCCCGGTGCACGTGACAAGGTTTAGCGAAATTCTCGCGAGTCAATACATCGCAGGTTTCGTGCGTCAAACTCCACGTGTGAATAGGCCGATTTCGCAAAATCTCAGTTTCGCTAAACTGTGGCATTTTGAAAAGATGCATCGTGTGAATAAGCCTTTAGCCCCGGAGATCAGCGTCTAGCTCCGATAAAACCCAAAATACAGCGCCACGGCAGACGGCATCTAGCGGAGGCATTGTGAAGCCGTCCGAGTTTTTGTCGTAAATGCACATTTTGGACTTGGACAAACGAAACCAAACTTATCTCGGCGGTACTGTCATTAAAGATCAATATGCAATTATTTGTGCGCGGTACTTTGTTCAAATCTAGACGTAAAACTATAAGGTCACATGTCTAGTCAAAAATGTGCAAAATGGCGGAGCCAATCGAGGGTCACTTTCAGCTACCAGTTTATCGCTCTAAACCCCTCCACCTTGTTGGTCGACCCTAATGTTCAGAGAAGTACAAAGAAGGAAAAATTGTACAAATATGAATTTCACAGCATCTCCACTCACCGTATAGTTTGTTTCGTCTTAGATCGGAGCACTATCCAACACATATAACCAAAAAACACACATACTAAAAGCGCAAGTCGCGGGACAAACGCTGGACTTGATTGGTTTGTCCAATGAAAGAATATGTACAAGGAGATGACGAATGCCATGGTGTCGCGCTTTAATGCTACAAATCATCCGGCCAGGGCCGTTGATACTGGGCATCAACCGCTCTGGCCGGTTGATCGCCGACATCGTCTAAATTTCCAGACGATGTCGTCGATGTGAGGAACCAAGAGTCCCCAGAAAACTTTGCAAAATAGTAGTATTTCCGATTGCGGCTACTGTGATAAAACAGAACTAGGGTCTTGTACTCCTGATTAAATCACTTGATTATCATGTCTGCCATTTTGTGGCTTGTCTTCATTTTATGGCTGCAGAGTGGCGTGGCACGTGCGCCGCTCACGTCAACCTTCACTGCCTGTCACCAGCGTGTGCACGTCGAGCTTCACCGCTTTGCACCGTAGTGCTAGGAGCAGTGGTTGACTTGGGGGAGCGCCTGGCTTTGCGTGATAGGCATGCAAATTGTGCTCGAGATTATTACAGGTCAAACTTCTTTGTCCTAGTTGTAAGTTAATCTCTAATTAAAAAACAAAACAAAAAAACAGCAGAGAAAGAGAGAGAAGAAAGCAAGGGTCTATATACCGGGTGTTTAGCAAAGACTGACAAAAATTCCTAAAATTAGTGTATTCAAGGTAAAAAGACAATTTTTTTCAGGACTGCGTTACTCGTGATGGTGGACGTCAGAAAATGTGATACTTACCAAATAATTAATTAGAAATGACTAATTAGCCTTTTAATTAGTGAAATGACTAATTAACAAATGACTAATTAACCTTTTAATTAGTAACATGTGGTTCCAATTAGAACTTGCTGAGCATCATTGCAAACCACTAAATCAGTTATTATTTAGAAGGGCTTCAAGCGCGTGAGAAGCATAGTAGTGCGCTAAAGTTGCCACTCATGGCTCAGGTACAAGGCTGGGGCTCTAATAAGATACGGAAAAATCGCGCAGGTGCCTTATCGCAACCGTTAGCCTTGTGCCTGCCCCATGAATGGTAACTTTGGCACGCTACTATGCTTCTCCCGCGCTCAGTCTCTCTGAAAATTGCTGATTTAGTGGTTTTCAATGACACTCAGCAAGTTTCTTATTAGGCCCATATGTCTATTTTCACTAATCAAAAAGTTGGTAATTTTTTATCAATTAGTTAACTAATTAGGTATCGCACATTTTCTGACGTTCGTCATCACGAGTAATGCGGTCCCGAGAAAATGATCTTTTTACCTGGAATACACTGAGTTTAGGAATATCATCAGTCTTTGCTGAAACACCCGGTATATTTGAATAAATACAGTAGTCATAGTAGTTCCCGTGCAGCTGTCGATCGAGAGAACTGTGTCACCTTTAACCATTTGGGGTCATGCGAGTTTTCCACTTGCTTTTCTTGGCTAGTACAAGTAGGAATGACCATTAGCAGGATGTGATGACATCACCTACAAGGCCATGAATTGTCCGCATTTGTAGATAGTTTGCACTGCTTAAAATTTAAACTTTTAAACATGTACAGTAAAAACATGAAGTTCTGCATATGTCTGAGGCCCTTTAAGATGATTTATTTGAAATTAAAAGCCACATCCAAGTAAATTTCCAATGGCGGTGCACATATCCTGGGTGTATTTTGTTTTAGTCATTTCAGAATTTGAAAAGAAGGGAACTTGTGTTGGCATTCTTTCAGCCCTGGGAAGAAGTTGATAACTGTGGCGGCCACTAAAAGCAAGGCAAAATAGGTTAATTATATAATTAACTAAAAGTTTCATTTAACTTCTAGTTAAAAAAAAAAAAAAAAAATTGTAACCATAATGTGTTTGGGAATTGGCGCTTGACCTCGGTACGGCCTAGCCGTGCCTAGATATTTTTATGAAAAAATTTGTAGTGGATGCTGCGAGGTGAGAAATATTACTCTTGTACATGGCTTCAAACGGAAACTAAGCACCGAACTGCACTAGTGATGTCGAGCACTTAATTCTTGATTAATTCAGAGAGGCCCGGGAGCGAGATAATATAACTAAGTTGTTTTAACTGTGTACAAAAAAAATGCAGGATTATTGTGTGCATCATAGTAGCCTTTGGTATGGAATATTTGGACAGTGGTGTTAAAGTAATTGGTGGGCTATTATTAAATTCAGTATAGTACCATATTTCATCCTCTTAGGCCTGCATTCATGTATACCTTGCACTGATGTAACATGTTCCACGATTTTCTTTTTTTGTTTGCTTGAAACATACCTTAGGCCCACATTGCTCTTGCAAGTGCAGAGAAGCGGTTTGAGAAAGAAGGACGCACACTCGTTGTGATCACCCAAAACATTGACGAATTGCATCGAGCTGCAGGAACTCAGAATCTACTGGAACTGCATGGTATGGAGCTTTGAAGAAAACTTGTGTTGTGCATATTACCTTCAAGGCATTAACGTCTGGCTTCTCTTGCTCCTGGTTACCAAGGTACTCTCTTCAAAACAAGGTGTACAAAGTGTGGCCACGTCGCAATCAACAAAGACAACCCGATTACTCCTTCTCTAGGTGGTAGAGGGTAAGAATGGTGCTATTTGTGATATTTTCATGAAGCCTATACAGTGTCTCGGGAGGACAGATTTTAAAAGAAATTGGGAGACACTATAGCCTTGACTTGCCCCCTGGAAGCCACCATTTAGGATAACATAATATATGGTAATGGCATATACTACTCCAAACCCTGGTGAACTCTGTAAAGGAGAGCAAGTCATATGAAACTTAGATTAATTTTTTAGTGTGTTCATTATTTTTTATTTAGATCGCGAGCATGTTGAATGATATTGTCTCTCTTCGACAAGTTTCTTTTAGTATCATGACATGGATGGGTTTCTAGTTGATGAGTATAAATCTTGGATTAGAAAATAAAAGTAATGTAAATGATGTGAACCTTACACCAGTGCTGAGCACTGCAAAGAGGCATTTTTTATTTGTCCCGATAGAAATCTTCGCCTCTATTGCAGTGCACCTGACCCAAACACTCCTGATGCTGCTGTACCTGTCGGAGAACTTCCCAGGTGGGTAAAAGTTTTTGTAATTGTTCCATATTGCTGTCTTGCTGAATCAGAGCCTCTTGGCACGCATGGCAAATCGGTTTGCATGGTTTTCACAGCCAATGTTATCTGTGTCTTTCATTTGACAGTGTATGCCTTTGGTATCATATCCATATTACTGGAACACTCAGTATAGTAGGCTGGTGCCATAAATATGCAACTCTGCACTCATAGTGAATGCCCTTATTGTTTTGCTTCTCTTCAGTGTGGTGGTGTGCGTATTTGAGAGCTACTATCTGGCACGAATGAAATGCAAATGGCAGAGCGTGTGGCCTTCATTCCATGCTACATTACTTGGTGAACATACTTCTTACGACTTTGCAAACTACTGTCGAGACCAGTTATAACGAAGTCAATGGAAATCGGTAATCACTTTGCTATATCCACTTTTTCGTTATATCTGGACTCCATCTTTGAGTGGCGATGATTTACACAAACCCCAACCCGCTTTGGCAGACCTGACATTTTGTGCTGTTGATTTTGATTAGTAAAGACTATTATTATTATTATTATTAACATTCAAAAAAAGATAGCACGAGCCGTCTTGGGCACATGTTTATCGTGCCTGCAGAAATCGGTTGAGGCTTCCCAGCACGTGCTCTCTACTAGATCGGAGCTGCCTCTTGCCAACTGCGAGAAGCTTCGATCGAGAAAAGTTCCTGCGAGCTACGTACGGCCGCCACGAAGGACGCCAGCGATGGATGGCATTCTTTATGTTTATGTGTACTTCATCGAGGATAGCATGCTTTTGTTTCGAGGAGATTGCCTTTGTTTTTCCCGTCGAGGTGCCAGCGGTGCCGGGACTCTCCATCATTGAGTGACGATGATTCACCAGATCGGTGCTTGAGCGAAGTTAGACTTTCACACAAGAGCAACCACACCAACATGCGACACCGACACAGCACATGAAGCAAACAAAATAGCGCGCACAGCATGAGTTAGTGCACATGACACCGATTTCAAATTTTCCGCTTCTTTGTCATGAATAAAAATGTAACGATTTACAATGGGGCGGTTACTTTTATAAGTAAGGATATTACTTTGCACTTCAGAAAATGTGTAATTATACCGTTACAAAATACTGATAAATGTAGGGGATTAGAAATGATTTCATTAATGTAATGGATTATGTACAAGTCTTGTGCAGTATGTATCAAAGGTCATGCACTCTGTTTTTTGTGTTTTATTCATGCCCGATAGTACATCAAGGTTATGCTCATATTAATTATTAAAGGGACACTGGCAGGGTATTTATGCTCACCAAGGTTTTTATATTGGGGGTATTGCCTTTGAGGGGGGTACCATGTAGAAACACAGGATGTCTGTGGGTCAGTTGATTGACGTGTTTTATTGGCTTCTGTGCCTCCACACTTTGCTCGTCGGCCAAACTAATAAAAGAAAAAAATGGAAAAATGTTGGCGCTGTCGTATTAGACAGATTCACCTGGAGCCCACGCTGCCGTATTAGGCACATTCGTGGGAAGGGGGAAGCTTAAAAAGAAAGAGGCTGTGAGGCTAGAGCCTTCCCTACGAGAGACTGGGCCGCCGTTCGCGGCCGGCTTATCGAGCCTGCAAAAAATGGACACGCCTGGGGTAGGTGGTGTGGCTTGTCCCACAGAAGGGCCGCGTTCACAATCATTTCGAAGGGTGCGCCAGAGGCACATTCACCCAAAAGGGCGAGGGAGACACCGCCCTCTTCGAGGAATGTGGCCTTGCTCCGTATTCGGGATGCCGTTGCCATAATGGTCCTCACGGCCTGCGTGTGCTAGGCTCGGATAGGGAGAGACGGGGAACACGTGGTTCCCACAATATGTACATGACATATAAGAACCCAACTACCTAGAAAACAATTTGTGGCTCGAAATTCGTTTTATTTTTGCCAGAAAACTGCTGATGGAGCACTGGCCGGTTTGAGTCGCACTCACTCTCTTCTTTGTGGTCACGTGCCGTTCAGACACACATACCAAACATGTGTGTCTGAACGGCACATCATTGATTATATTAAATCGTCATTGTGGTCATCGATTATAGAAATGTATTATTGTTAAATATTAAATTTAACATTAAATGTTGAAACGAAAAAAAAAATATATGAAACCCATTTTTTGTGGCTTTTAAAAAACTGCAAACATATTAATTGAAAAAAAAAAAAAAATGTTGCAGAGAGTATTAGAAGTACACGCACTGCGTAATTCTAAACATGGCATCATATCACAGGAGTCGCTGACTGGGTGAAGCAGACTAAGCAATGGCAGCGGATGACGGACGTGGGGCCCCTACTTCAGAACTGTCGTTCGCGGCACCGGTGAATCTGTCTAGCTTCGAAAGAGAAATCATTTATTGATCAAAACAATTTGGATTTATTCCGTATAACACACCTGACTACCAAGCCGATTCACACAAAGACGTCGCCGAGTTGTTGCCCCTTCTCCTGACTGAAGATATTGCTCGTCTTACGAACACGAATTGGTAAAGGCTTCCTAAATGTGCAAACGTCAAGCACTTCGTGCTTGACGTCTGTGCGTTTTTCGTCTGCTTTGCGCAATCAAAGGAAAAAATAAAAAAAAATGTCGGGTGTAGCCACGTGACTTCCGGCAACTCTCTCCTCCTCAACATTTCTCCCTCCTCCCTAGTCCACATGTCGCGGCCATTAACTTCATGCTCATGTTTCGGTTTCCGTCAGTTGCATGTTTTTCTATAATAAAAATATCTGAGACTCTGTAGCAAAATATTGATTCGGTACTCTTCCGAAACCATGTTAAATCGCCTGGCAAAAAAATTTCAAACAAAATCTTGGGGGGTGTCAGTGTCCCTTCAGTAGGTCAGTGTTTCTTCTGTTATTATATGTTGCGCCAACGTCATCTTTTTGTAATGTAATGTAATGCCTGAAAGGGTTTTTAGGGTAAATAAATAAATAAATAAATAAAAAAAACCTCCATGTTACAAATGAAAATACAATTTGTTACACCATGTACAATATTTACTTAGCCATTCAAACCTCTCATTGTTTCCTTTCTTTTCACAATGTGCATAGGTGCAAGAAATGTGCAGGATTGCTCAGGCCTCACGTGGTCTGGTTTGGAGAATCTCTTGAGCCAGATGTGCTCACCAAGGCTGACGAAGAACTGAAACGATGCGACCTGTGTCTCGTGGTGAGTCTTAGTGCTGCAACTAGACTTGCATTGTATTGTACAGGAAGACCGTTATGCCTTTAGTACGGTGCTTGGAGGAACATGTATTCGACTGGCACGTTTACCGTCCTATCGCACCCACGCCTCAAAAGCGGTCCCAAAGTGGCAACAAATTGCGTCGCAGGAGCCGGCATTCCACACTGTTGGATGTCACGGTCCCAGTGATTGCTCATTGGAAGTGGTGGTGAAAAAGGCAAGCAGACGCGAGGGTCACCGTCGTTGCCACGTCCCAACTCGTGTCTGCTTTGGTTCCCATTAGCTGTCTGACAGTGGAACAGGCGTTTGCTGCAGCCAGTTTGGCTGCTGTGCCACCGCCAGGATCAGGGCAGGCTGCAGCGTGACACTTTTACGACACCATGGGGCAGAAATCGAGGGACCCCATTAGGGGGCACGGTCAACGCAGCAGTCGGAGACGCGCTCCAGGCACCGTATGGTTAGTGGGCGGTAGTTTGAAGCGGCCTTGATTTGACCCTGTCAGATTGGAACGTCGTCGGTCGTGTACCCAGCAGCAATGTTTGCACCAGAAGTTGCGGCTCGTGGTGTTCCTGTGGCGGAGTTCAATCTGGAAGCTACGTCTGGCACAGAGAATTTCGGGTAGGTCTGCTTTGCTTGTTTAGGAACTTCGCAGGTTGGAGTCTGGCCGTCGAGCAGGCTCGTGAACCTCAACATGTAGAGTCAAACCCGACTATATCGAACCCGTTTACATAGAATTATCCCTTATATCGAACAATTTTTGTTCACAGTAGTGTTACAGTGATAATATATAGCAGGGGTGGCCAAACCGCGGCTCGCGAGCCGCATGCGGCTTTTTGCTGGTCCAGGTGCGGCAAACGGATCCCTCGTAAGGGCACCCCCCCCCCCCCCCTTCGCCCCTTTCCACGTTTCCCCAGGAAAAAAAAAGAAGAAAGGATTTCAGAATAAAGCACACTGAGCTTGCAATTTGGCAGCCTTCTACTCCCATATGTAAAGTCGTACAGCCTTGTGCCCCCATACGCACAGTCAGACTCTGAACAAAAGCTAAGTTGCCCCCCGCGGCTCTTAGAAGCTCCGTGGTTTTGTTTTGCGGCTCTTAGGCCAGGCAGCCTGGCCACCCCTGGTATATAGCAAAAACTATGGTTACATCGAACAAAAATAGCAGCCGCTACCAATAGATCGAACTGCCAAGACTGCCATTTTCCTCTGCAAGCTGGCTTTTCCCCAACGCGAGCGGCCGCATTGGGGGAAAGCCAGCTTGCAGAGCACGCTGGCTTTTTTTCTTTTCCAGGCAACCGAATCGACCGCCCGGAAAAAAAAAAAATCTCTTTTGTGGAGGGAGCGGTGAGAGGGTGCTCCGTGCTCCGTGCTCCCTCTCCCCACTCCGTCGGCAAAAGAGAATATTATTTTTATTCGGTATTGCGGTTTAATTGTATTTGTGATTTGCCTGCGTTTGCATTCTTTATTCAGTTGAGAAATAATGCAGCAAAATGTTTTGAACGCTGAATTTTTGCAATTATTTCTCCCAGCTCCTAGGACGCTGAAGCGCTTCATGCAAGCTTTATTTTATTGTTTGCCGGTTTTTGCGCAAAGTGGTGTCGTCTGCATGTGATGATCGTTGCTACCACGCCTCACATAAGTTAAATTTTTCCAGCTTGACAAAACAGTCCTAATGCTACATATCGGGGCAACTTGAATCATACACACATTGACGGCAATTGAACTCTATCCATGAACCGATGTATCAAAACCAGGTTGTTTTACGCTTGAGTCCTGGTAAGGACCCACCTCGTTTATATACACACACAGATGTACGGAACTTTGGTGACGTCTCGCAGTCCCGACACAAAGTTGAAAAAGAACTGTTCATTTCCCTTTTGCTCGGATGAACCACGACTCCCGAAGAGATATTTTTTCCAACTCTTCTCCGAAACCAGCCCGGTGCTGTTGTCGAAGTCTATTGTGTAGCCGAAACGCTGGGATTCTGTTTATTAAATTTATGATTAGAGTTCTTAATTGCCGTTTATGTCGTTTCTTGATCAGGCAGAGAGCTGCCGAACCTTTACCTTTGTACGCACATATACGAAACATGCGCATATGTACATGCATGTACAAAAGCATGCATATGCGTACAGGTGTACACAAAAACGGGCACACTCAAACCGATAGACAAAAGTGACTTTCAAAACATAAACATCACATTCAATTGCACAACACAGCTCTTCTCAATTTTTTGTGAATATTCAAAATATTTTCTTAATAGACATTTCAAATATTTTTAGTTGAACTCTTCATGCACTTGAAATCCACCGAGTGTGACAAAAGACATGCTTCTTTTCGTGGTGTCAACAATGAAGTGGGGGACGGGGACAAATTAGAGAGCTTCCAGATGGTGATGTTATTGATTGTTTATTTGGCAGAATTTTGTTTTACAAACTATGCACATTTAAGTACTTGTACAAAGTTTGGGATTAGGACATCATTGACACGCGGTAAAGCGCTCAAGTCCATATCAAAAATCATACTCTTTCTCTCGCAACTCTCCAGCTTTTGTAGACGTTCAGCTTTACCTCTGGCCAGAAAAGGCCAATCACTTTAAACCTGACTGGTGGCACGTAACGAACTTCCACCGAATCGGCTGGCTTACAACATAAGCATCCGCTCACAGATGAAGCCACGGGATAGATGCTAAAATCCATCGGGGAAGGCAGTTTTCAGTCTTTCACCGTAGTGCAAACTTGATCCTCCTATTTCCCTAATGAAATACATGAAACTAAGATCTTGTTGTAAATATGTTAAGAAAGAAATTACCTTCTGCAACACTGCATCAGAAAATGCATTAGTGCTTCCGTTTTCTTCAGAAGTGCTCACAAATGGCAGGTTGAAAAAGTGGGCAGTTTGAAGGAATTCAAGCTCCCGTAGAAATTCTTTAGCCTCAAAACGGGGAAATGTGTGACCATGCTTCAAATTGTTTATGTATTCTCTTTTTAATAAAACCATCCCGAAGTCAATCTGTCTGGTGGTTGCTGAGCAGTCTGACCAAAAAGTTGCCATTGGAAATACATAGCGCCTGGGGAGCTGCATTATCCTCTTAACAAGCAGGAAATCTGATGTCGTACATAGCTGGTGACGAGGTAGAAAAGAAAGAGCACATCTAAAACAATTGGGGGGGAAACAAATATATAACGAAAACATTACCTTTTGACTTTGCAGCCATTCTCATTCATGGCTTTTTTTTTTTTTTTTTTTTTTTTGCATGGAGCTACTTTTAGATGGTTGCTATGTTGCTAGCCTAAAACTAATTGGCAGGTTTCTGTGCTCCCATCATTGGCTATTCGAATGCATGCAAAAGATGTCATGAAGATGTCTGTTTTTTCTATTTATACATTTAATGTGGTTATTTATTTATTTAACTTTTGGGGGGTGCCCCTAAATTGTCCGTAGGCCCACAGAAAGGTGCACCTTATGCATTCTAATGTAACTAACCAATACACAAAAGCAGCAAAACACAGTTGGTGTTACACCAAATATGCTGCGACTAAAGCACGGTGCAAGAAACCTTCTTGCACCGTGGACTAAAGAAAGTGGTGCGTAGAAAAATTGAACTAAATATATTATCGGATGAGAATATGGAAGCATCAGAGAAAGTATGGTCTGGGATGTTGTCAAAAAAAGAAAAAAAAAAGCCAATATAAGATAGCTAAAACAGAAAGACTGGCTAAAAATTTTCAAATGTGCAAAAAAAATAAATAGAAAAAGCAATGCTCGCAACGAAGTTTGAACGGTAATTGCATACTGAAATTTTCACCCGTAACAATATCTACCTCAGGCAAGCTTACCACTTTCGACCCATTAAAATAGCTCCCGTCTACTCTGCTGCTTTGTTACGAAAGCTCCTTCTCGCAAACTTGAAAAAGTTAAAAAATGGCTGCTGGGTCTCTTTAAATAAATAGCAAACATGTAATTTGTTTTACTTTTCTCTAATTGTGTTCTCCAAATCTTAGGTTTCACTTCGATGGTCCCTGTGGTACAACGCTGCCTGAAGCTCTAGCCCCCTGAAGTCAGAATGCAGAATCCTGGATGCTTGTTTGACGGTATGCAAGAGGACCCCATAGTGCTGGAGCTTGTTCATGTTAGTAGAATCGTCCATGGAAACAAGTAGAGGCCTGTAGGTGTGTGTTCTGTAGTTGTCTCTTTGCTTTATATTATGTTTTCTATTTTTGTAAGGCAATTCTACACGGGACCAGCATGAAATCGGACAGTTAAGTTTTACAACATGCTCCTTTGGGATGACTGGGACACTCACCCTACAGTGTACCTTTTGATCGTAAGCAGATGGATTTTCTTGTCTACGCATTTATGGCAGCCATATTTTTTCTTCAGCAGTTGTCTATTTATTGCTGCACTGCACAAGTTCTGTGAGCCAATGGTTTTATACATTGATCACAAATTTAGACTTTTAATTGAGCAAGTTGTTAATGACTATGCAGTTGGGCCACCTCTGTCACAAGTAGTTTGTTATTGTTATGGCTATGTGGCACAGTCACCTCTCAATAATTCAAAGCTTATTGAAACAACAAAATGCTTCAAATTAAAAAAAAAAAAAAAAATTTGTATTTTTTTAGAAGGTGTTGATTTTTTTCTTGCCTCTGCTGATGGAGATGCACCGCAGTAACCATGCTCTGCAAATTTTAAACCTTTCTGGGGTGCCTCTGTTCTTCACAAATGAAAAAGTTATCTGTGGTGCCCAATGCAGTTCTGTGTCAGTGGCATCAAAAGTGACTCGAGGGTTCCTAGCCCCAACCAGTTGTGCGATTTCACGGTCCGAAAGTGGACTACAGACCACAACATGTTTGTTGACATCAGTATACTTGATGGACGAAACGTCTCCGAGGGCTGGGTAAATCCTCGAGCCCAGCTTTGTTGGCTGCGTGCACCATGCGGCCACGCTATTAATTGCTTCTGTGATTTCCGTCGTACCCGCTGCCATGCTTGGCTTGGCTTAGCTAGCTTGGTCGCTTGGCCGCACTTGTTCGCTCTTCTCTCAACCACGCAAACGGTGGATTAAAGTAAGTGTGTTGTGCATGGTTGTAATTTAAACTTGGTCAGAATAATTGTAAGGCTTTTTTTATGCTCTTATGCTTTTGGAGCACATGCCGCATGTTTATTCCCGTAGACTTGTATTTATGATTCCCAGGATCGCACACATGCTTAGAACTAACCGATATTTGAATAAAGCGACTTTGAATTGCAGAGAGTCAAATGTGTAGGTTTTGTAAGACTAGTTTTCTCTCTACCATTTGCACTTCATCCTACTGCCCAGTAGTATATATTGGGTGTTTCAGCAAAGATTGACAACAATTTCTAAAATTAGTGTAATTAAGGTAAAAAGATTATTTTCTTGGGACTGCATTACTCGTAGTGGAGGATGTCAGAAAATTTGCGATACTTACTAATTGGTTTGCTAATTAAAAAATGCTAATTAATTTTTTAATTAGTGCAGCGTTGTGGTCAGTGCCAATGGCACGATTGTAGCTGACGACCTGCCAATGACGTATCACTTGTTAGCACGAAGAAAAAGTAATTATCCTAAGTGCCGTGGCACTCGAAAATCTGGTAATTGTTTCATCTCGAATATGAAACCCAGCACATGAGGAGCGCAAAAAGACTTGTGCCAAGAATACGTCAGTGGGCGACGCGTCGTGACGTCTTTGGGACTACGACTCGAGAGCCAAACTGTCTTGTGTTATCTAGCCGCTGCATGCATTTGATTTCGCCCCAACAAAATATGCCGTCATCATCGGCTGCGCGGTCCCGATTTCGAGAACTCTGCATGGCAAGGGCCTGAATTTTGTGTCTCAAAAACGTTTTTTTTTTGTACCACGTTAATTATTATTTGAAGGAAACAATAATTGCTTTTAACCATGGTTCAATACAACAATTACGCCATTTTGAACATTCATGTTCACATTCACCGCATTATTGTAGCATTGTTCTTTTTGCTTGCACGCATGATTAGTGGTGTTATTTTCCTGTATTTTCTAATTTCTTGGATATTATAGTGGTTTGATGTTAAACATAAAACTTAGTGTAGAACTTTCCTCAAAAACAGTTTTGCTTCTGTTGATGGCTTCTTTTTTGTCCGAGTTCACATAGGATACTCCAACCTAATGGAAGATGATAATATTGATTTGTCTTGTAAAAAATCATGTTTCATGTTTAAGAATAATTTATTTCATAGCTTTGGAATGTTCTTTGTGTTTTTATCAAATATCATACGTTTAGTAAATATTTGAACATGGCCACCTCACTGTGGCAATTTTTTAATTCCACGTGACCGAAATAAATATCATTAGAAACGAACCGGTTTTGTTACATTGTGTTCCAAGTGCTCTTCGTCCATTACAATAGATAGAAAGAAGTGCTCCTTCATTGCGTTCACTAAAAGTAGAAGGGGATGTCCCAAAGCATTTTTTTTTTTACATTGGTTTAAATCGTCGAGGCTAGTGGGTTCAGAGGAGAAAGCTTCACTTTTAAGGAAGGACACTACCTGGGAATGTCAACTTTTGAACCGTCACTCAATCGTTGTGATATGTGCAGGTGGTGTTGGTAGTCATATAGAAGGAGGGCATGCAAAGTTTCAGCCCTGTGAACCAATTTTATGAGGTTCTATACCCCCAGAACGAAGTAAAGTATGGAATCTGCTCTATGAATCTATCGTTGATAAATGGTGTTCATAACCACAAATATTTTCTTGTGGAATGCATACTGGAATACCTGTTGCCAGCTACTATAATAATAAATTTAAAAATATAAATTTTTCAGGTAAAAAACAAATTATGAAAAAGTAAACTTTTTTTCCACATTTTCCAAGTTTTGGAAATTACAATTTTTCATAATAAAGGAACATGAAAATGCAACATCTAAGCTCATAGTAACCGTATCCATAAAATTTCGATATATAAGCCACAAAAATTAAGTCTCTCGATAGTTTCATACTGAAACGATAGTGAAATTTATGCCAAAAGTGGAACGGAGAAAAACGCCTTCAAAGTGCTCGAGCCTCAACCTTTTCTTTAGCATCGGTGGACTGAAAAGAATTTATAAAAAAATAACTATGCAGTGTAAACAAATGAAACTTTCTGGGAGTACTCTCTAGATGTTGACGGATGTAAATATGGCATTTTTCAGAATCAACTTTTTTTACAGAATTTTTTTTTCCCTGGTTAGTGACATAGCCCCAAAAGGAAGAAGTCTAGGGGTGACAAATCTGGGGACCTTGGAGGCCAGGCCGTGCTTCCACTGCGCCCGATCAACTGGTTGGGAAAATGGTTAATTAAGAACTGGCGTTCTGGTGAGGAGAAGTGCGGCGGAGCTTCGTCGTGCTGAAGCCACATCATCTTGAAAGTATTCAGTGGAAGTTCCAACGCGAAGTCTGTCACCACACCTTTTAAAACGGAGTTGATGTATTTGCTTCCAGTGAGATTTCCGTCAATAAAATAGGGGCCAATAATACGACTGTTGAAAATCCCGCACCATACGTTGGCTGCCCATTTGATTTGGTGCGTGTGCTGACCTAGCCAATGTGGGTTAGTGTCACACCAGTAGTGCGCATTGTGCAAATTCACATTGGAGTTTCGGCAAAACTGGGCCTCATCTGTCCGAAGAATGTTATTGAGAAAATTCGGGTCCTTGTCACATTATATGAGGAGGCATCAGTTCCAGAAATCTAACCGTTTCTGAAAGTCGTTTGCAGTCGATTCTTGATGTAAGAATTGTGCCTGGAAAGCGACCTCCAAACCGAAGACATGCTCTCTCCGGACGCCTTGGCGATTTCCCTGATGCTTGCTTGTGGCTTTTGACTGACGTACCCTAAGACTGAAATACCAAAGTCCTCACCACCGCATGTGGGTGGCCTCCTTTCCTGGACCTGGACTAAACCGGTAGAGTGGAAGTGATTAAACGGCACTTTGAATGTAGCACGTGCAGGCACACAACGATCGGGATGCTCAGCTGCATACAGCTTTGAAGCCAGATCAAGGTCTTTTGCGCATTCACATACGTGATCACAATGTCCACCTTTACAGCTACAGAAAACTGGTGTGAACTTTGCACTGCCATTCCACTGAGCCGAGGTCTGCGATATCTATGTTCTGCACGTAGACTGATAAAAACAGCACTTTCAAACAATGGGACGTTGCCAAATAACACGGGCCGAGCAAAGTTTTCAAAATTGGGGCCGCGCAGCTCATGATGACAGTGTATTTTGTGGGGCGAACGCCGAGTAGCTGGGCAAAATAAATGCATGCCGCGGCTAGATAGCACACATGGTTCGGCTCTCAAGTCGCAGTCTCGAAAACGTTACACGAGTCACCGGCTGACATATTCTTGGCACGTGACTTTTTGCACTCGTGCGCTGGGTTTTGGTTTCGTGATAAAAAAAAATTGTCAAATTTTTCGTGTGCCACAGCATTTGGGTTAATTACTTTTTCTCTGTGCTAACAAGTGATGTGTCATTGGCAGGTCAGCAGCTACAATCGTGCCATTGGCACTGACCACAGAGCTGTGCTAAATAAAAAAAGTAAATTAGTCGTTTTTAATTAATTAGCAAACGAATGAGTAAGTATCGCGCATTTTCTGACATGTTCCATCACGAGTAATGCGGTCCAGAGAAAATTATCTTTTTATCTCAAGTACACTAATTTTAGGAATATTTGTCAGTCTTTGCTGGAACACCCAGTATAACTAAGTAAAGCTGCTACCTCACTTATTTGGCATTTAGCAGGTCTTTTTGAAAGGTGCCAAATAATACTTAATTTTAGACATATTTTGTATGTATAGAAGGTATAAAAATAGAGATAGAACCCTTTTTCTATTTTTAATTTTATGTAGTTGGAGTGCCAGACAAACGAGGTGTGGCTTTTTTTAAATATATCATCACCAAAGGTTTATCCAATTGTACTCCATTTGAATGGAAGACTAGGTGGTTAAATAATGTCACCAAATTTCCAAGAAGTGCAACAATATTGCTTTGTTCTTATATTCTTACTTGATATAAATTTTTTGGCATGTACTATTCTTGGGAACAGGTCAGTGGAGGGAAATGTGTTGTCCCAGTCTCTACTTCGTGCAGTTCTATAATTTGCATAGTATTGCATTCCAGCATCCCCAGTTGTAATTTTTTTGTAGCCGCTACGTGTGAGCTAGTGGCCACCAAAAATATAGTGTAGTGTTGGGGCTTCACTAAAACATTACCAAATTGGATTTGGGGATTTCTGTTATGGTGAAAAAAGGTCAGTGGATTACTTGCTTAGGAATTCACTTTTGCCTTAGCTTTTACCAAACCTGACCATCTTTGAAGGCTGTTTGCTGCATTATACCTCTCTGTTTGTTTCCCAGTAGTATCTTCCTACTCACAAAATATTGATGTCAGCCCTACTGACATCAAAACGTAGAGATCTGGCATTCAAGCTCATTCGGAGCCCAAACACGATGTGCTCTGGACGTCTACGATGCGCCCATGCAAAAACAGAAATGCTTTGTGTGGTTGCAGCCATATGTTGCACACTTTATGTACAGCTTTGCAACAATTTCTTCTTTGATGCATTGATAGTAACTGAAAACCTGCTGCTCCGCTCCGTGGCCAACTGGTTCCCAAAATGCAGTGCACACAGTGTTGCATGCAGGGATATATGGAAGTAATCTCTTGAGATAAGGTGCAATCAATTATACCCATAATTTCTGGCAAATAAAAATCGAAAATACTGAGCACTATAGACCGTTCCAACTCGAGAAGGAAGGGTGAGGGAAAGGAAGGCCGAGGAGGAGGAAGCAGACGGAATGCTGGAGGATAGAGGGGAAAACCACCTCCTCTGTCTAGTGGTCCGTCTGCTTCCTTCTCTCCAGCCTTCCTTCCCTCGCCCTACCTTCTTGAGTTGCAACGGACTATAGCACTAGTCTAGAACATGGCTCAAGTCACTATGCTTAGAAAGCTTGGGTCAAATTAATTTTCAGGCGAGAATGGAGTTTGAAGTGCACAGCCAAACCTTGAGTGATGCTGTTTACTCCACAAGTTTATTATGTGGCCGTCTCGTATAAATCCTGCCAGATTTACCATTGATGGGTAATATTGTGGTCCTAATAGCAGTATAAAGTGCAGAGCAAATGGATCTGGTGGTTGTCTCACTAGCACCTTTTTTTCCAATATGTGCCTGCGATTAGATTCTTTAGAAATCTGCCTGTTACTAGGAATGTTTGTCTTACCAGGTATATTTTGAATGAGAAACTTCCTATTATAACTAACTCTTTGTGTCTCTTTGAGCTGCATTGAAACAGTTTAACTTGTCCACCTGGCAATCTTTGTGACAACTATAGTATTCATATATACTGTATACTTTTTTTATGTTAAATTTCACATATGGAAGTGTCGGTGATGTTTTCTAATTTACTTAGAAATCAACTGACACTTCCATATGTGAAATGTAACAGGACATGGCAACTAGCATACATATTCCATGGTTTTTCTGTGGAGACCAGATGCACAGCTGTGATTAGACGTGTATGGCAAATAGGCAGCTGTCTTGCTCTTGCTGTAATCATAAATATGAGGAGTGTGACAGCTTTTTTTGTTTTCTTTTCATCGGGCCACTTTTAATAAACCCTTCATACCAGTATCCTTTTCCTAGGTATTGAACAACTTCTTTGATTCAACATGATTCTCTGATGCAAGATGCACTTCTGCTAACAGAATCGTGCAATTACTGTTCTTGTGTCGTGGAATTGTTAAAAATTCTGTAAATCTGTTGTGCTTTCGTTAAACCTCAGTTATGGATGTTGCCTGTAGTTGGTCACGATGCTCCTGGTGCTCTGGAACAAAAAATTGAGGGAGCATAAAATCGACAATATTTCTATTCTCGCTACCCGTATTTCGTGTTAGAAAGTGACGACAAATGTTTCTTACTTTTTCATTTGTGTAATGTTACACTAGTCCTGTTGATACTAAAAAAATGGTGTGTGGCTGTCATCGCTTTATATAATAAATCTCTGGATATCTTGTCTTAGCGACCGTCTGATTAAACATTTTTTTTTTTTTTGCATGGCATGGTTAATGGCACTTGGCATCAGACTTGTACGGTACTCATTACAAGTAATCAAATTACTCGTGATTGAGTACTTTTTTAGTAAATTTGTAATTGTGTAAATACATTAATTAGGAAGTAATCGCAAGAGTTTTACCAAGGAATCCTCGAACCAAGTCTCCGACCAGAGGATGGTTTACCGAAATTGGTGGATTGACAAGTTGTTTATAATTCGGTGGTCCTCATCCAATAATGGACCAGTTTCCAAACAGGCAGAAAAATCTGTGGTTTTGGATATCTGAAGTAATCGGAAAAGTAATGGTTAATTTTTCAACTGACGGCCAATTACTTCTAGAGTAAAGTAATCTAATTGAATACTTTTTAACCAAAAGTAACTGTAATTCTAATCTATTACTTTTTCCGAGTAACATGGACAAGACTGCTTGGCATGAATTTTCCTCTTCTTTAGTATGAAATGGTGGGATTGCAAGCCTGGCTTTGTGCTCTGACACGACCCTTCTGCGGAGTGCTTTGCGTTGTGTCTCCCACCTGAAAACATGTATATGAATTATTTCAGTCTTTGCGAAGTGCATGGCTTTTGACACATGTTGTGCCACCTGTAGGGCTCCTGGGTGACATTCTCCGGGTGGCACAGCACGTATCAAAAGCCAAATGCTCCGTTGTTCACTTTTTATTGGGGCCCAATGGGGCCCTAATAAAACGATTAGGGCCCATCCTGAATAAGAAAGTGTTCCCTTTCATGTAGCTCGGTTCTCTTCAAGGATAGTGTAATAGATTGGGATTTTGCAATCCAGATTGCCCTAGAAGTGCCATTCCACTGACTGGTATCTTAGCAGATGGTGGTCGTCTCGTCAAACGGTTGTTATTGAATCTATCAGTCTCTTAAAGGGACAGTGAACTCGCAAAAACCTTTTCTCAAGTGCCTAGATAAGACATGTCTGTCACAAAATAAAGTACCTTCCCCTTTGAAGAAAGAAAAAAAAAGTTTATTAAAAGCAATATTTACGTTGCAAGCCACATTTTGAGTTAGGAGCAATTCTCGAACATGCTTCCTTTTCAGCACGTTGACCCTAATTAAAAGCACGTTTGAATCACTCCTAGGGTCACTGAACTCTCCCCCCCCCCCCCCCCCCCCCCCCCAAAAAAAAACTTTTTTTTTAAGTACCTGGATTTGTGCAGTTGCAACAGAAAAAGATTAGCACAAGTGACCGATGACCGGTGCGGTAAAACCGCGACACGCGGCACTATTGTTCCTGAGTGCACCGATAGTGAAAATTATGAAAGATTCGCATTGGCTGGATGGATTGATGGATGCCCACTGTTCAATTGTACTAGGTAATTCAAGGAGCGGCCAGGCTCTTTAAATCAACCGCAAATTTCGGTTTCTTAACCTTTTGCACTACGATATTGTGCAGCGTTGCCCACGGATGGCGCTTTTTTTTTTTTTGTAAAATTTGCAAAGATTAAACTTAACTGAGGAAAAAGTAAAAAAAGAAAAAAAGCTTAGCTCCTATGGAAACGCAGCGCAGCTGCGTTTCCATAGGCGCTAAGCCTTTTTCCATAGGGGCCTTTTTCTTTCTTTACTTTTTCCTCAGGTAAGTTTGCTCTTTAAAATTTTACAAAAAAAATGCACCATCTCTGGACAACGCTGCACAAAGTCATAGCGCGATAGGTTAAGAAACCGAATTTTGTGGTTGATTTAAAGAGCCTGGCCGCTCCTTGAATCACCCAGTACTATCGTTAGCACTACAATGAAGGCTGCCGCTATGGCGACCCCAGCGAAATCAACGCCGAGAAGCTCTAGAGAGGTCGTTTTAATTCTGTTGTCTGGCTATCGCTGCTTGCTTCTGTGCCGCGTCATTCCTACGCAATTACTAGAAGGTTTTTCGTTGAAAAATCACTTTGCCTTCATGTGTAACGCCAATTCTACGCTGCAGTGCATGGTGGTCCGCATGCTGAACGATGAGAAGGACCTCCTTTCGTCCACCATTTTGCCTGACCAGTAGAGCCCTGCATATCCGCAGATATTCACAGTAAACTGGCGGATGCGGATAAAAATTAAACGAATTTTGGCGGATTGCAGATCGGATGTCAGGGGCTGCGGATGCGGATCCGAATCTAAATTTTTGCGCAGTGGCATTCAGTCTGTCGACTGACGTTTCATCTGCAGATCGTTTCGTCGACATGCGACGTTTAATCGCAAGGCTTCCAGTGTTCGTTTCATCGAAAAACCTGAGACGTTTCGTCGCACACAACCCTGCTATTTTCGTAACAAACTTTTTGCGTCTCGCCTGGATTACAGGGGGGAGGGGAGCATGGTTTGGTTAAGCACGCCTTAGTGAATCGCACGCTAGCTTTTAGCGGCTTAGTGAAGAGATATGTTGTCGACAAAACGTCGCAGGGGCATGTGCCCACAAAACGTACAGCGTCTACGAACCATGTGTCTATGAAATGTATGTCCGTGAAAAGTTGTCCACGAAACGTATTTCCACAAAACGCGTTTCGAAGAAACGATAGGGATCCTAAGAAAGATCTGATTCTTACTGAAGATCGCTTCAGTTTGTGCATTTCATCTCGTCAAAAATGCTATCTATAGAAAAAGTAAGACTAAAGAATGCAGGGCACCAATCGTCCCGAGAAAGCTAGTTCTTTGGCAGGGAAAGAGCGGAAAACTTTCTCGGGCAAAGATAACCTCAAACGAACAAGTCGCAAGAAAGTAGAAGAAACCTCACCTTCTCCGCAGAGGGTGGTGTGGTCATGATACCAAAAACAAAAGAAGTGCTTCGACAGCGAGCGCGACCCAGTGGCGCCACGGTTTGCAAAGTTTCGGAATCAGCAGTGCACGCACATAGGCAGCCCTTAAATTGCCCGTTTCTTTTTTGTATGCTTAGAGTTCTAGCCAAGAAAATTTGGTAGTTCATATTTGTCCGGTTACGACGCCAGGGCGCCAGCAATGCCAGCGGCTGCCGCGCGCAACCTCCGTAGCCACCCCAAGCAAAAAAAAAAAAAAAGTTTTCTTGATATATTTCGGCGCCTGCAGGCCACAATCTTTCACGAACAACACGTCAGTCAATCCGATCAGACCTTGAACTCTGACTTAGCGGCGCATCTGCCCGCTGGCCGAAACTAAACACCGCGAGACTCGAGACGGCCGCATACGCTCGGTAACATCACACATCACAGAAAGGATTTTGCCTTCCTACCACTGCTTCTCCTCTCTTTCCAAACTTTCTTTTTTTTTTTTTTTTTTGATCTTTTTTTTAAGGTGTTCAGACTTCAGGGGAGAGTTAAGGAAGGGGCCATGGGTGAAAGTTTCCGATTCCGCGTGTGGCGGGGAAAAACGCGGTCGGCGTGATTTCCGCTGATTTTTCTAGTCTAAATGTAATAGTAACCTCTGGTGGTTAGCAAGAACATTGACATGGTTCCACATTTTGCGGTTCGGATACGGATACAAAGTATGCGGATCGGATACGGATACAATAATGTAAAAAGTTTGCGGATGCGGATACGAAGTCTGCGGATGTGGATCGGATACTCAAACTGTTATCCGCGCTTGAGCACTATATAGCTCCTACGGAGCAGAGTAGCGCAATCCTTTGATCCGCGTGTTTCGCCGACAACATGGCCGACAGAGCAGCTCGGCGCGAGTCACGTGGTACTCAGGGTTCCAGGAGGCAGCCCGCTCTATGGGAGAATACATGGAGATCGACTCAACCCGGCTGATTAAAAAATAAACGCCGAGTTCACACTTTTCGAAACTAGTCTGTCGTAAAGTTGGTAAAGCACTAAACACTTTCTCAAAGTTTTAATAATATTGGATGCATGTGAAAATTGTGAGAAGGCAATTTCCAAGGCAATGGCGTTTGAAGCAGACGATTGTTTTGCGCAGCGGAGATGGACTTCATGGGGATTGGCCGGAGCGGGTCACGTGAACGGTGTGACGTCGCCGCGTCGTCTGCTGTATGATGCCGCTCAAGCATTTTTTAAACAAATTACGTTATTGCATGGCACAAAACTTAGCGCAAATTATTGTTAACTGTTCCTTTATTATGTCAAAAACTATTGTCATTCCGTACATCCCCGAAATATTCAAGAAACGGAGATTTTCTCACGTTCTCTATGCATTTGTGCCCGGAGTTAGAACCCTCGGGCGTTCGCCGCTACTCGCCGAGAGATGGCATTCTCGATTGCGCTACTCTGCTCTGAAGGAGCTATATAGTGCTCTAATCCGCGCAGGGCTCTACTGACCAGCACGCCCCCTGTAGTTTGCTAGAGTCGCGAATAGCTGGGAATTGCTATGGCTGCGCTCTCCGACGGCCAACGGGGGTAACTGAAAGAGCTTGTGGTGCAGGTGCAAATTTTCAACATTTTAATCGGTTCGGACAACACTTAAATGCTCTGCAAATGTACTTCCTCTGTTCTTTAAGTAGAGCAGCCAACACTGAATACATTTGTACTTGATAGTACAAAGTCTTGCATCATGTATACAGCTCTGCGAGACTACTCTATAATCCATTTTATACTTGGTGTTTGACGCTGTCAAAGTCGCTGGCACGTGCATGGGGTTTGATCTCTCGGATCATTTGCATGCATTCTCGCACAAATGAAACCATGGATGAAGCCATTTGCTCGCACCAATAGCTCTGACAGCATTGTATACCAAGTATAGATAGAAGATAGAACTTTGTCATGTCTTCCAAGGATGGAACTTTGTCACTTCTCGTAAAGAATTGAAGCTTTCACAAAAGCCATTATGGTGATCCTATACTTCATTCAGTCTATACTTACAGTGATGTTTACACTGCCTGAAGACTCTAAATTAAGGTTGCTTAGAAATTCGATGGAAGGGGCAACCAGCATATCTGGAACCATGCAAGTTGTTTTACTTACCGTAAAATACTGAGAAAGCGCAGAAACTGAAAACTGAGTTAATCTAGCCATGGGCACTTCTCCAGTCAAATTGGTAAAAACCAAGATGGCGGCCAATAAAGAGCTTTGAAGGCGAGGTGATTGGAATTGGAGATAGCACATTTATTTTCACATGATATCGCCACAGGCGGTCTTGTGACCTCCACAACAGGGTGCATATTTTTGGCTGATGCCGGCGCTTTGGAGGGGGTGGGTGCTTGGCGAATAATTTGCAGAATTCTGAAGTTCACGAAATGTTAACAGTGGGTGCCTCCACAGCATTTTAGAGTAGGCTTACGGCTTTTGGCCATGTGAAATTGCAGTGCCCTGTTACTAATACGCTGGGTAGTGTCTTGAATGCCAAGGGTGATACTTATGAATGCATAGCACTGCTATACTCGGGGACACAGTGGCATTCCAAAAGTGAAGAGTATGTGTGCACAGCTTTGATGGGCGCTCAAGCTCCACGAGTGCACAGGCACCAGTAACTTTGGCTTCATTGCCACAGTAAGTGTTCTCAAATGTAGCCCCCATTCTGAAAACATTCACCAAGTGACACAGTATGTATTTTTCTGAAGACACTGGCCTATTTTTATGTCTTCTCCAGGCAAGCATACACTTTCATTTTTGAAAATATACAAAACTCTTCTGAAAAGAGGGTGAGGCAATTCACTAATTCTTGCCATGTACAGAGCAGTCCACTCTTCAGGGGAACACCGGAATGCGCGGCCGGTGCTCCACACAGCGCCGGCTGCAAGCGCTCTCAGAGGCTCAGCGCAGAGGCAGATAGCACCAAAGGTGGTATGTGCCGCACGTCATCTGCTGGTGCACGCTGCGATGCAGTAGTTGTGGACATGTGGCAAGTGCCACCTATGGTGGTCATTGCATTTGCGCTAAGCCTCTGCAAGTGCCGGCAGCTGGCGCTGTGCGGAGCGCCGGCCATGTGTCCGTATTTCGTTTGTGGACCGCTCTGTACATTTGCGTCTTTTCTGTATTCCTTGAACACTTGTTTCCCTTCTCTTTTACAGAAATAGTAGTCTTCGAAGGCACATAATGAAATCTTTGGGGGTACAGCATATATCACAGTCAGATGCTCAGCAAATACAGCTGAAACGTTTCCACGACACCAGCTCACCACAACGGTGATGTGCAATGATTGTCAATCAACAGTTTAATGCAAGCATTTAGCCTGCCCACATTTATAATGCACACCGTGCATTTAGCCTGCCCACATTTATAATGCACACCGTCCAATTGCAAATTGAATGCAAGAGCAGTTGTGTAAAACCTTGCACTAGTAAAGAACTTGTTGGAGATCCATTTAGATGCTAAAACAAAACCTCTCAATTCCTCTTTGCAGGGCTGTTTCGTTTCTTGCTTTTGCCCTTCGTATTCGCAGCTGATCCTTGCTTCTTGATGTAACCATGGCACTCGAGAAGGTCCCTGGCAACTTTGTTTATGTGTTTGTACCGGTCAGGCCCCAAGTGTGTTCCTCCATACCACCGCGTTACCACAACGTAGACGTTGGTGGCATCCAGAATCTGCAAGAAAATTGCAAAGCATACACAATTCCCCATATGTTGGACTGGACTTGTTACACTGGTTTTGGGCTCGCTCTGGAACAAAAACCCTTCACAAGTACCACGATGAAAATTGAGCACTAGTTTAAGTATCTACATTTTCTGTACTGGATCATAACTGGCACGTTCTCACCTTCTCAGACGAAACCGATAAAATCTAGAAAATGCTTGCTATAGTCGGTTACAAGTCAAGAAGGTAGGAGAAGCTCCTCCCACAAGCGTGATGCGCCCGTTTCAAATCTCTCCGCAGTCGAAAGAAGAGTTGACTGGAAACGCTACTTGTTCCGCTTCAATGGATTACCAACTTGTCTCCGATCACACTTTTTAAGAAAGCGACCTTTGTATTCATCGGAGAGGGAACCGAGCCCCTGAAAGCAGCCTTTGTATCCATCGGAGGGGGAAGCTAATCCCCGAAAGTCGTATTTGTTTCCATCGGAGGGGCAAAACTCTAATCTCCCTCTCGTGGCTTCCACAATGCTAAGTCAAAGTCGAAAGATAAAGCAAATATGTACAGAAAGGCAAGACCCTCCTCGCGCGTTGGCCGCGACGTCACGGAAACAATGGGACGCTATTGGATGCGAAGCTGGCGGAGGGATATATGATTCCCTTTGAGGGGCATTTGCCGCTACCTTCTTGACTTGTAACCGACTATAGTAAAATCTTCAATTTAAATTTATCTGAAACACTTCTATGATGGAAGTTACAATGACGAAAGGAAAATCGCATCAGTCTCAGTAAAGTGCCGGGTCAGCAATCATGAGAAGCCAGTCCACTGTCCAGCCTTCTTTCAATGATTGGATGTCTGACAAAGGGAGGTTTATCATATTTGCCTTTTCTGGGTACGAAGGGAGCTAATCTGACCATGTGCATTGTAGAACCCATTGTTTAGGTTCCCGACTATGTAAAGGAATAAGAGGGTAGTGTTTTTTTAACGGTGGAAGTTACGAATGGAAGGTGCACTGTCCAGTTGGCACTTGCCAATGCTCTCGCATTGCAGGATGAGGCAAGTAGCTCTCCCAGTCTCCAGTGCAAATGTCGACTGGAGGCTTATGAGCGACTAAAACCTTGTAAAGTATGCACGATTTTATTACAATCTCTAGTCTACTTCAAACAGTGTTAATGGCAACGACGGTGTATAGTGCTATGTGTTGTAAATATTGCTGCCCACAATTAAAATGCTTTTCTTTTCCTTTTGGTGCTTGTGTGTGTGGGTACTATATCTTTTTAATCAGAATTCTAGAGGATATGTACACACTTTCAGAAATTCAGCGCCATCTAATGGCTAAAATAGCAGCCCAACTCTTGCCATACCAATTGCTGCAACAAAGTTCTGTGTGCGTTGCTCATTTATTCGGGCAGAGTTGTATTTGTATGTCAACGGAAGGAGAATATTTTCTTCGCCATTCAGTTCTTGCTCCATTCATTTCAGTATAGACAGCGACTGACCCAGATGTGAGCCGAAACACTGATTGGCACACAGAGCAGATGCAGTGGACGCAGCGCTTTTATCCGATATCTGCATCGCATTAAATTTCTGAACCTCGTGTTATCTGCACGAGCGCTTGCCTTCAACTCTTCACTTCAGTTTTTTTATCAGCCAGCAGGTCTACTGGAGGTACCAAGAAGCTGCCGTTAGTAGTATTATGGTGCTTGGAAGTGGTCCCTCGATTCCCACCAGACGACATCATAAAACTCTTGTACTGTTTCCTGCCGCGATCCTGGTGGTGACACAGCTGCAGAGTCGCCGGCAGTCGACAGAAGCAAAAGCACACACAAGTTGACGTACCACGACAACGGCGACCCTAGCATCTGCTCGCCTTATTCGCCAGAACATTCACAACCAACCGCCAGGAATGCGACATCAGACAGCATCAGATGCCGGCTTCTCCGACGCAATTCGTTGCCACTTCGGGCAGGACACAGGCGGTATAGGACGATAAACTCACCAGTTGCACATTCCAGGCACCATAGTAATATGTTTTAAGCACTGATGATGATATTGAGCAGAGTGGTCAGTCTCTGTTTCGGAAAATGTACTGAGAATACGGTCGAGTCTTGCCAACATGGATACCCCGCTATACATGCAGTGCAATCCACTTATAACGGTACCACAGATAATGATGTACTGCTTATAACGATCCCTTTCTAGAGTTTCTAGACTAGAAACGCTTACTTTCTAGCCCTGATACAACGATAATCAGTTATAACAATTGAATTTTTGGGTTTTCTCATTCTTGTTATAAGTGGATTGCACTGTAGACGCAATTTTCGGGGATGAGCTGCATGAATACATGCATTTTCTGTCTCGTTGTAATGGACGACTCGCATTATGGAAGACTTTTGGGGGGGAACGGAGGTGTCCAAGTTAACATCACATGATCTGTATAACTAAATTTAGCTCCAATAAATGTGAATTTCATTGCACCAGAATTTTAATGGTAGTGATAAATGTCAAATTTTCAATTAAAAATAAACTGAAAAACACCCTGCGAATTTTACGAACACGTTGACACCGAAAACGGAACCTTATCGATGACCTGGAAAATGCGATTAATACGTGCCCTGTTGGAACAGTTCGCACTGCGATCTTGAGGCACTAAGATCGCTGATCTGGACATGTAGTCTCCTGCGATATGAAAGACCCATTCGGGGCGTGTAGCCGAGACAGTGGCTGACAGGGGCGCTGCGTGCGCTCTGGACAATTCCATTCTACCTCAAGGGGAGGACTTGCTCGGAGCTCAGCTGAAGCGTGCTTACGAGTTTTTAGTTTTGGATTCGTGGTGGGGAGCAGTTCGTCATGTCACAGTTGCACCCACATCTACTAGCTCTGCAATTGTTTTTCATAACAAACAAATGCACTCTTCAAGGCATTTCTTTTCTAAATATGATTATTTAGCAGTGCCTGTTCCAACATAATATGCCCAAAACTAAAAAAAAAGAAAAATAGTCGCGACTATTAGTTAAAAATGGTCAACTTGCAGGCGAGCTGCTGCGTATTAATCGTGATGTTTAAACCCCGAGACTGTGAAAGAAACTTGCGGATATTTTAGGACGGGCAGAAGGTGACAGACAAGCGTCTCAGACTCGGCTAACAAAATTTATTTCGTAACGCCTTTATACCATTCTCCCCCCCAAGGTCGTCCACAATGTAAAAAAAAAAAAAAAAAAAGTTTTCAAGGTGACTCAAATTCTAAGTCGGTTCGTCCTGAACACGGAGGCAGAACCGAAACAATAGGCCTAGGAGGGAACCCAGATACATAAAGGAAGGAAAGAAATGACACGAGATCGCCAGGTTTTTTTCTTGCAGGCAAGCAAGAAAACCCACGAAAAAAAAAAAAAAAAAGAAACCACTTTTTGCTTTAAAACAAACAACACGCCAACAAAAAAAAAAAAAAAAAAAAACGTCACAGCCCCACTTGCCGCCGTCACCGCCACACGTTTCAAGTGGGTCTTTCGTATTGCAGGAGACTATACATTATGCCTTTAAAATATCTCCTTTTGGGACACTAACTAGGTAGAATCCGGCTAGTGTTCTTTTTTTTCCCCAATTGCATAAATTCACACTTATACTTGCATCCAACAAATGAAGAAGCCGGGTTCCTGCATATGTTTCTCCATCATCTGCAGAGTCCTTTTGAAGCACACTTCGTGGCTCTGTCTGCAAAATCCTATAAGAGAATGTGCAACCGAAGTGAAATGACCAAAGCCACACATGCAGCACTAAATCTAGGAAATACTATGTAAGGCATACCGATAAGCCCAAATGTTGTGTGTAGCTTCTGCAATCTTGCGATTTGTCTTCAACCTGTTCAGGACTTGTTCCACCTATATTTAATAGTTCACAAAGGTATAGTCGCACCCATGAAATATTTCACAATTACTTTCCTGATCAAAGCCAAGATGATAATGCATTGTTTGTTTATTACATAAAATTGGTGGTTTTAACATTGTCAAAGTCTACTTGTTCTTTATTTTTTTTCTTTTCAGTTGTAGGGGATAAGACTAATATTGCATTTAATCTACTTGCACATCATTTTATAAGAAGCTGAATTCACCAACCTGTCTGAGGTTGTGAACCTCAGCTAGATGAGCTTGGAAAACGCTTCTACGGTCCTCCAAAGTATCACCGTGAAAGATTTCTGGCTCATCTGTGCTGTCGACCTCTGCAATTTAAAAGGGACATTGACACAAGAGTTTGAATACTCAAATATTCTTGAGTAAAAGCACATATGCTGTCCTTACACCCCCATTGAAATATAGTGAGAGCCAGGTTTTGACTTGCAAGGGGTTATTGGTGTTTCCTAGCCTCGCAGGGTTTGTCCGATACGAAGACTCGGTGAACGAATGAACAATGCAATTGTAATGAACGAGCAAGGTATGATGCAACGAGTCACAGAGCTGATAGCTATATTCACTCTTGCAGCTTCCAACATGAGCACAATAAGCCTCAAAATCTAATTTTCTTGCACTTTACATAAGCACTAACTTCGCTCTTCTAAAAGTGCAGCATTTGTTAATCTATCGTTAGCAAACTTTCACTTCACTGCAAAGTAAGGAATAAGGTCCCATTTCAATTTTATTGTTGTACTTCAGTCTATTATGCCACTATGGCCACAGCTTTGTTCAACCACTAACCTTCACTTTCCATAGCAGGCCAGCATCAAATGTGGTACCTCCCCACTTCATTCACTATGCTCACTTGATCAAAATGAGTTTTGAACTTGGCCAAACATATTGTATGAAAGTTCATACCAGAGTTGATTTCCAGCAGTGCGACTGGGTCCACAAGCACATCACCAGCCCGGGTTTCCAGTGTTCCTTCGAGCAGGGCTTTGCGCGCAATTTCGACCCAGTCAAAGAGTATATTTTCCCCCAAGTGATCACTGCAAGCAAAGCACTGTACAGTTACCATCAATGGGCAAGTAGGTTTACTTGGAGCAGAAATGCAGAAGTGGAAAACATGTATCAAAAAAACAAGAACAATCCTATTCTTGTTTCTACACAGTTCTTTCAGTTGGTCTGGGTGAATCCATGTTGGCCCTTTGAAGGGCCTGCATAAATCGGTTTCTTGGGATCAGACTGCTATTTACCACTGGGGTATTCTGTAGGTGGTGCATTTTGTATATCAATGACCCTCACTTAAACAAAAAGTAAAGAAATTAAAAATATTTTTTCTCTACCTACCATGGCCGTCTGCAAACTACGCCCAGGGACAACCTTCTGTGGCACTTCTGAGGAGAGGAGGAGAGCGCACGCGTAGCTTTAATTGGGGCTCAATCTGGGCGAGGGCAAGCATTCTCATACCTTTAACTGCACTGCCACAGAAAGTTCTCCCCGAGTGAACATGTATCTCATTGGTGCAACAGCCAACAGTTGGAGTCGGCGGTCTGCAAAGGGCTTTTGCAAAGCCGAAATAACCCAATAAACAGCCTTTCGACTGGTTTTGTGCCCATTCAATGTGTTTTATTAGTAAAACTACCAGTCTTGTACTGGCAACTAGCACCGGAAAATTGTGCGCCATTTAATTTTTATACTACAAGCGATCGCCTGCTTTCAACAAGGGAGCTGCTATGATTTGACTTTGGGTTTCAACTCTGATAATCAGTGGCGATTTTATTTCAAAGGGGAGGGAGAGGAGAGGAGAGGAGAGGGGAGGGGGGGGGGGGGGGGGGGCTCGTCCTGAACGGCAACGCAACCTGGTGACTCGGCCCAAACACCACTGCTAGGCATGCTAAAATTAAATTATAATTTATATATAAAAAAAAAAATTGTAGGGGGTGGAAGCTTTGATCCCCTAAAGCTCCCCAGCTATGCCACTGCTGGTAATGGTAATGCAAATAATCTGTCCACTCCAATTTTTGCTGCAGGCTGAATTATTGGCATCACTGGTTTCTGGTGACACTTCCTAGTTAAAACAAAAATCCAGTGAGTGTGCAGGAGAGCTGGTGGAAGTTCATCTCACTTAAAATTATCAGAGACTGTGGTAAAAGATGGAAAGCTTAGAAGGAAAAGAAAGGAATGTCCAAAAAATCAACTCTTTTTCCTTCTACTAAGTTTCCCATCCTTTACCACAGTCTCGGGTAATGTTTAACATGATCAACTTCCTGGTTGCTGGCTGTTTAATTTATTTATTAAGACAGAGGGAGAAAGCCAAAATGATTGTTTTCTCACTTCCCTATTATTTTTTCTTATTTTTTATGAGCTCAAGAGCCAGAGGCTTGCAGTTAAATCTCTAGTTCAGTTTGAGAAGAGGTGTCGACATCACATATCTCACACACATTGGTTGGTGAGAAAAGTATGCCCCAAACATACCCTGTACTGTAAAGCTCCACAGGTGTTCATGTTAGATATTTCTTTTCTCACGAGAACCTCACACCCGATATGAGGCACAGCATATGTACCACCCGAACCCTGTTTTTCACATACCAATAATGATCTTCCAAGGTATTCGAGAGTCTTGTCTTATCTTCATGGCTCATCCATGGTGCACTGAAGAGGGTAACAGATGAACGACAGTATTAAAGCAAAGCATTTCAGTCAAGATAAATAAAGAAGAGAAAATAATTTAAAGTTGGAAGTTTCTGTCACTACCAACAATAGATAGAGCATTTCCAGAGATTTTATTATCAGTATTAACATACACAAAGCTGCAGTTTGGAATGTCAAAAGGTAAAACTGAAAACTCAGAGTAAAAATTTTCAGCTTGTTATACACACTCTGATTTTTCGTTCTTTCTGTTCCAGTCAAAACGTTGGAGCCAAACTACTACATCATGTATGTGCAAAGTGAGCACTTCCTGAAGTTGCTCCAGCAAAGTAAACACATAGCTTTTTGTGCCTCAAGGAGGATATCCCTTGCAGGTGATGTCAGCATCCACTGCTCTATTTTACTAGTAATAGTAGTTTAGCCAGGGGCGGATGCAGGAATTTCCTGAGGGGGGGTCAGGTGTTGGTGAGCGTACCATATGTTAAGGAACCCCCTCCCCCTCTCCCTCGGTTCACGCCCTAAATTTCACGCATGCAGAAATCAAGAGGGGGATCAGGACATCCGGACCCCCCCCCTAAATCCGCCCCTGAGTTTAGCCTGTCAATTGGTCGTTTTCCCAAAGATCAGAAGAACCCATTCAGCTTTTAAAATGTATTTAATCACAATTTTTCAATGGAGCAACTACTGTTTGCTAGAACAATTACAACAATGATATGGACTCCTCACAGCTGCCAGATCCCAAGTGATCCTTAAGACCTCATTTACCTAATTTCGTAGATTGGAGGTGCATCAGATGGATATTCCGGTGGAAGCCTGACCTACAAAATTGTGCAGATATGTCAGGGAAATACATCTTAAACTTGAAGACACCATATTCAAGCAGTAATTTGTTGCCTGTAATTAAATGGGTGCAAGTTCCTGTTCAGAAAACTTGCCTTGAAATCAAGCTTGTGGTTGTTGTTTTCATTGCAGAGTGTGATCCTGTAGACACAATCAGCAGCATCTTCCACTTTCCATTCATCCTGGTAGATTGCCGAGAGTGCTTCAATCTCGTCAGCCTGAAACACCCAGCGCTTCTCCTTGGTTTTATGTTCAGTCCAGTTAAAAATAATATTTAAAATGGAAGCAGGTTCAATAAAAAAAAATATATGCCTGGGAGGGCCTGTTACGGTCACACCTCTTGGTAAAGAACAACAACATCTACAGGGTGCGGCCATAAGGACAAACGCGTTTGGCATGCCGAGTCCATGAACTTACCTGAAATTGGGCACGCAAACATAGTTTCATAAGAAGCTTTATGTATTTTTTTAGAGCTCAAGTTGGAGGTGGTAAAATATTAAAAGTAGAGCAAAAATGGAGGCCATTCATATCTCGTGTCCTAGACTGGATGTTCGTCGCTGTCAATTAAAGTATTAATCTTGCTCATCGCCAGCCTCTACTATCGGTTCTTGGTATTTTTGAGTTCAGCCCGTTCAGCAAGCCACCCGAGAGTGAGCTTATAAACTGGTGTGCGGGCAACAAACGGGCTGATACACACGTTTGCAAGTACGACCTCCGGGCACCGCCATCTTGTTCGCTTGGGGTGCGCTTCAGCACGGCCATAATCCAATTGCAACGCCTTAAGGCTTCTTCACACAGTTGCGTTTGACTATGTTTGACTGCGTTAACCCCTTGCCTACTAATAACGAGTGTCACTCGTGCCGCCATTTACGGACCATAAAACCCGACCACGAGTGTGACTTGTGTTACGGTTTCAGAGCTTGTTTTGTGAGCTCTGCGGCAGATGGCAGCACTACCCCTGTTGCTTTTGTTTACCTTGGGTTCTTTTCTTGTTTGCTTTGCCTTTTGACAGAGAGAGGGTGCTCCATTGACAAAAAATAAGCGCGCTATTGTAAGCAAGTGCGCCAAAAACATGTCTTCGGTGCGGAGGTCTGCTTTGGCCGACGAAGATATACAAAGACTTCTTTTTGAAAGTGATGAATGCGCCAGTATTTCTGACGACGAATCCTGCTGCCTTTCCGATTACCCGGAATCCGATGAGAGTTCAACGAACAGTGAGAAAAGTGTTGAAAACAATGCGAATCCTGGAAGCATTTCATCGACTTCGGCGTCTGGACGTCAGTGGAACTGGGAGAAGAGGGACAACCAGCCTGCTCAGTTCACCTTTGTAGAAACCCCAGGTGTGTCAGCAAGGGTTCAACGCAGTCTTGGTGAGAAGACAAGCGCCTTGTCGACCTTTTCCGTGTTTGCAAGTCATGATTTTTGGGCGTCTGTCTCTGCTGAGACAAATCGCTACGCCGAACAAGAGATGGGCGACGAGGATCGTCCCAAGAAATGCTATGAGGAGCAATGGTTTGACACCACTCCGGATGAGATAAAGGCATACTTTGCCTTGTGCATCATTATGACGCAAGTGAAAAAACATACAGTCAAAATGAACTGGTCCAAGAGGTCCATAGTGGAGACCCCAATTTTCAGCAAAACGATGTCCTATGTGAGTTTTCTGCTAATCTCTCGATTTCTATCATACTGTGAAGAACTACTGAAGAAGAGGAGACGACCAGAAGTCCTGGTATAGAGCACGAGACTACGCCTGAAAGCCAAGGAAACGTATTTCTTTATTTTGATGCAAATTGCTTGATTTAAATCAAGCTTTCTGTACGATCTTTAAAGAAAAAAAATGAGTAGGCAAGGGGTTAAAGGGAAACTCCAGGCAACATTTTTTAACTGATGGATGGACACTAATCATCAGCCATATGGCCGCAGCGTGACGTCATTGTGGTGCTAGGGTACGTCATACAACCAATCAACTGCAGCTCCACCGCGACGCGACGTCACATGGGTGCTGCACCAGTGTTCCTCAACTGAAAGCTAATTCACTTGCCGCCTGCTAAAGAGCAGCTGGTCACATCTTCAAAATCAGTTTTAGTGGAGTAAGTAGCTTCACTCTGACATAGTATTTCGGCTGTGATCATATTTCGTGCCACTAAAGCGATACCACTCATTTATTTTGGTTTTGTTTTCGACCGGAGTTGTCCTTTAAGACTGCCTTCGTCGAGCTGTTGCCATGGCGACTCTTACGATAAGCCAATGGGGAGGCGCTGTGTTGTACGACGCAATCGTGCGACTTAGCAAGGCATTGTACTCGGATTACGGCCGCGCCCAAGTGTACCCCAAGCAAGCAAGATGGCGGCAGCCTGAGGCCGTACTTGCAAACATGTTACGTGTAGAGGGCATAGCAAATACAACGGCCTCCAATTTCGGTTTATTTCGAATGTTCCACGATAGCAAAAGTTGTGACTTGAGCTCTTAAAAAAAAAAAAAAAAAAAAGTACATAAAATTTTTTCTTAGAGCAAGTTTGCTTGTACGATTACAGCTATGCACGTTTGTAATTTGAATTTTGCAAGGCGTGACAAATCTGTTTGTCCTTGTTGCTGCACCCTGTACATACAAGGAAAACAGAAAAGCGAGAGAACATACCTGGGATGCTATGTTGCCATTAGCCAAGACTGCAGCTTCCATGCTAATTGCTTTATACTAAAAACTGAAAAAGGAAAATATCATTCAGCAATAATCAAACAATATACAGAAACTTTAGGAGGTTTTTTCGTCGCAAAAATAAATTGTGCATCGCCGAACGCCCATTTTCCACCCAAAGGTGGCGCTAGAGGTCTGAACCAGACAGAGCCATATATTGGCAGAGTCTCGCCATTCATTGGTTTGAATAGACGAGTATCTCACGGCCAATCACAGGCCGCGAAAAAGCCCTTAGCAGTGGTCATGAGCTCTAAAAATATGACTCGACTAATTTAAAGAGTTTTAACGTCGCTAGAATAAAAAAAATATAACTCTTAGTGATTGAAAACTTGGCGCATGCAAGGTTTTCGTCATGTCCAAATTCAACGGGAGAATAAATGAATGTGCGCTTCAAACCACTGCATAGTTGCGATCATTGCTGATGATTTGCTATTGACGCCATTGTCACCGAAATGCCAAGATCGAACGCTTCTATTTCACGCTTTAAATGTTGTTTCTAATACTGTGACGTCGCGGTCTGCTGATTCGTCGACGCCGTTTTGCACTTTTAGTTTATGCTTCAACCGCAAGGGGAATATTTGGCACAGGCGGCGGCCTTTGCTCCGCCTATTGGCCAAACTCTCGTAATAACTCATGTTTACAAACAAACCGGAGTGCCTCTAGTTGATACCACCGGCGCCGTGCATGCGCAATGAAATGTGGGCAAGAAGCTCGCCGTCGCCCATAAACAAACCATTGAAATGCGATGTTGTCGGCGTCGGTAGGAGTCCCCGTGCTCTTTATCACAATGGAATTGTTGATTCTATGTCGTCTTGGCAATGTCTGACTACTTGAGTGGCTTCGACGAAATTACCGAGGCTCGTTACACCGCAAAACTTCGCGTGAATAATGTGACATGCAGTGATTCATTCCGCATGGACGCCGCAGAATGGACGCTAAAGCCAGATTCGCATGACGAGATTCCGCTCTCAGTTTTCAGTCGCGACGTCGCTCGGGCTACAAAAGCGTGAGCCGTAGCTGAGATGGTCGACGTCGATACTGAAAATTACAAGCAGGATCAGACTAAGTGAATTAGGAATAACAAGTCGATGATGGCCACTGGTAAGAATGATCAACATCTCCTTCTATCAACTGTTTACACTGAGCCTGCTTACCCCAACCAACCTTCACTTACTTATTACCGCAATTACCTGGCCAATGTTTGATCTACAGGCCGGTGTTGTCTGAAAGAGCAGACGACAAGCAGAAACATTTGAAAAAGCAGACGGCACTTTGAACAACCAGGTGGCCGTTTGAACTTGAAGACGCACCGAACGTAGACCGCAGATGGTCCGTACAACTTGACAGTTTTCCCGCATTCATGTTGGAACAAAAGTACCTAAATCTGATAACCACAAATATCCGTGAATATAAACCGAAGTGCTTCCTGCCCAAGCATTCGTGGTCCGACGGCGTCTGGTTTTCCCTTTTCACGGCACATATCCACATTCTCGGACGAACCGAGCATATAAAAAATTATCTTCAAACTTTTCTCGACTCTTCTGGTACAGTCCCAATTACGGTTTTGACGAGAAGGCAGGTTTTTGTCTGGTTTCTTTCAAAACAACGCACAAATGCACGTCTCGCATGGCGACTTCCACCCACAACCCCGGATCGAAGTGTGCTCGACGCGCCACCACCACACCGTGATGTAACAGAGTAGAGTTTGTGTATACACGTTTGCAAGTCCGGTCTCAGGGCGCCGCCATCTTGCCCAGTGGGGTGCACTTGGGCCCGGCCATAATCCGATCATGACACCTTAGCAAGGCTTCGTAATCGGATTAGGACGCGACCAAGCGCACCCCAGCAAGCAAGATGGCACCTCCCTGAAGCCGGACTTGCCAACATACGCCTGAACCAGATGCCAAATTTTCAGTACGAATTGATATTTTATTGAAGAGCTATGCGATTTTCTGAAAATAGCAATGGGAAAATTGTGACCGCCGGAGCTCTATGGCGCCAGAAACCGAAAACGTGCGAAAATGGGCCCATTTTCCCAATGAAATTTTCAGAAAATCTCTAACAACTTTTGAATAAAATATTGGTTCGTGCTGAAACTTTGGCACCTGATTTGGACCTTTAGCTTTACCTTTCGGCGCAGGATGAGTGCTCGGCGATGCGTAGTTTATTTTTCTGATAAGAATGAAACGTTTTTTTTCTTGGGGGGAGGGGGAGGGGGGGGGGGGGGAACTCTTAGAAGAGACTTAGAAAATTGGAATGGTCATTGCATTGAAAGGGACAGAATTCCCAAAATTAAAGCAGACAAAAACATCAACAAGATCCACAAGAAATCATTTTAGAAAGTGACGACAGGTTTATAAAGTGATCCGTGAGCACTCGTGAATCGCACGTTCATGGTTTCGGAATCGGACGCATGAGTTCCAACATAATGGTTTCGGTATATGAATGCGTGCCCATGCTCGCTCGCTCGCTCTGTCTTTTTGACACTTCATGGTACGGGGTGCGGCCAGTGCGGCTGGTGGTACGACTTGCAGATCTAATACATTCCAGCTTGTGCGTACGCACTACGTTTGTCACAGATGTCAATCGCGTACCTGGAAATAACCTTGTGGCAGCAGAAAACGACTGAGCTACTTTCACTAGCGTCCACCTGTTCTTCCACTGAGATCACATCCCCTGTGGTGCCACGTGTCATCACTATCAATCACCCATGATCGGCCACACTCACAGTGAAACTTTTGCGCTTGCCACTCTCGCTGCTCCCGCTCGCCGTCGTCCCGCCAGTCCCGCGTCGACAACGCGTCGAACGTGTCAAACTCAAGCCCATGTAGAGATCAGTGGTCAAGCCCTTGGTCAAGCCCAACGCAAATCCAGAAAGCCGCAAAAGTCGTAAAAATAAGCTAGAGCTAGAGCGTAGCTTATTTAGTGGCACTAGCTAGAGCTAGAAGCGAGAGGAAACGACAATCTTAAATGCAGTTACCACTGATCTCTATGACAGCAGTTACCAACAGCACCGTAGCAGTAAATTTGCTTTGTCTAGCTTCACCGCACTGTAACAGTGTAGTATTACCATCTTCATCGTGTTACGAAGGTTTTTTTCTACTTTTCTTTTAACTGTCTGATCTTAGAGCACTATATAGCTCCTACGGAGCAGAGTAGCGCAATCCTTTGAACCCTTTGAACCCCGTGTTTTGCCGACAACATGGCCGACAGAGCAGCTCGGCGCGAGTCACGTGGTACTCAGGGTTCCAAGAGGCGGCCCGCCCAACGAGGTAGAGGGGCTTAGAGCGATAAACCGGGGTTCCGGTCTGCACTCGAAAGTGACCCCCATAAGGAGGCTGCCATTGACGAGCGATTCGGAGGAGGAATAATGGCAGGTCACGTGACCCGACAAGACCGGAAGTGACGTCACAAATATAACGTCACGTGACAAAAAAAATTTGTTTTGCTTGTTTTTGTTTGTTTTGTTTTCTCTGACGTCACGGTTTTTAGCGAGGAAACTTTTTTTTATTTTTACTTTGTTGACGTATTAGTTTTTTTTTATTTTGTTTATTTTCTTGCTTTTTGCAACCGCGGGACCGCGTTTCTGCGCTTCAGATTGCGTTTTTCCGACTCCTTTGTTTGATATCGTGTCGTATCGTCGTATTTATGTAGTTATTAGGAACGGCAAGGCCTACGTTGTTGCGTCCTTTACCTGAATATCGTGACCGAATCGAGTGTCGTCGATTTGAATCGTGTCTTGCGAACCATCGTCGAACAAAAGGTGAGTGATTTGCGTTTTCCTGTGATGTGATTTCGATGTGTTCGTTCCACGTGTCCGAGCTGCTTCTTCGTTTCAAATACATTTGGCGCCGGTGCCTATTGTTTGAGCCTGTGCTCACGATGAAAACACGCATCGCAGAAACCTGAAAGCCCGCCAAAAGAGCTCTAAAAACCGCATCCCAGACCTGCCGGCAGACTTCCGAGCTAAGCCTGATTAAACAAAAACGTTTGATCCGGCGGAATAATGTGTTTGATATTACATCCCATGTCAACAAGGAACTGCGCTGTCTGTCTTCGCCCCCAACAGGTTTTATTCTTCCGGGTTTTTCAAATCTTTACCAACCCGCGTCCGATCGTAATACCCCGATCACAACAAATAGTTGATCGTGCTCCGATGGCTCCAAACATCAGCCGGCAAGGAAGTTACGTTTTTCGCTTCTATATTTTGACCCAAGTAAACTCATGTTCTCAAACTATGTCATTCTGTCACCACCTCCAGTTGCACATTCTGGCGCACTTGCAGCCTCGTGCACCCTTGCGAGGTTTCCTGCTATCGTACCCTGGATATCATGGATTTCTCGCCGTACGCGAGTGCTCACGGAGGCGTGCTATACACTCTGTATCATAAGTTGTGTGCAGCAGAGGCGCAGGCCCGAGCACATGACAGTAAAAAGCGCCTTTTTTGCACGAGTACCCGCGCAAAAGGACATTCTGCAGAGCTGTGCCCTCGCACCCGTGCCTTTGCTGCACACAACTTACGAGGCAGTATAATAACCGAGCCGTTTTTGTTTCTTTTGCACATTACTGTGAAAGAAGTGTCATTGCTGTTTTCTTCTCAAAGAAAACTCAGAGACGTTAGACAAAAGCAAACAGATAGGAGACTGCACATTCATATGTTTTTCCCCCTTGTGCTACAGGTGATGGCTGGTCGTGGTTCATCAGCGTTTGTTTTGAAACTGATGGGTACCACAAGGCATGAAGGAGGTGACTTGCAGCAGCAAGGCACTGCAAGCCTTCGCAGCAACTGGCTAGCCAGTGCTGCTCTGTTCTGAACTGCACTGCGTGTCATGCGGAGGTTTTGTGCAAGCTCTCTGGGCGGCGACGCTAGCCACGGTAAGTGCATTCTATGCAGCTTCCTTTTAGGGATATATGTGGCTCGCAGGCCATGTCGTGCCAGCGAAATATGTGCCACCCGAGTGACAGCAGTGCTAGTGGCAAGGCTGCGCTGACAGTAAGTAATCAACACTGCACTGTGTTTTCATTCAATAACTAGTGACAAGGAACCAAATACTCCCGAGAGAGTCTCGGTTGTGCTTTGATAAACTCCAGCTCGCTTATGAACAGGTGGATGGCACAGATGGCTTTTCCTGGTGGACTTGGTGTCCGTGTTAACATTGCAACCAGACTTTCTTTCAGTTTCTGGCGTTTTTTCGTTGCGGGTGACCAGCATTGCAGTAGAAAAAGATGCAAAATAGTATAATGTTTGCATTCGTTACCTAAATTAATGGCAAGAACAACTGACATACATTTCCACCGACTGCATTTCTCGGAGGAATAGCCTGGACTAAAAAGCTCGCTACACTATGTCGTTCCCTCTTCGCCTGTACAACTCTGCGTCTTCCCTCGATCGTCTTATGTGGCTGCTTCTGTGTCTGCCTAGGCACTCGGTTGAAATGGGGAAAGCTGTCTGCGTTGCACATAACCGCCATTAGAGCCAGCGTGGGCGTAGCTGGGGTAGCCCCCACTATGGCTTCTCCAGCTCGACACAAGTAACATTCCTACCGCTGTTGTGTTAGCAGAAAACAGACCTGCTTAAAACGTACAGTGCACATAGCACACAATGGAGAGGTTGCTCGCCAATCATTTTCTTGGAAGTGTGAGTTGAGCCCTTTCGAGGCAGTTTGCTTCCGCACCGTGCACTATAATCCGCCCGAGAAGAGAAAACAAGATGAATAACCAGTAGGATTTCTTTGTTCCAAGGCTTCTTGATGCAGAAAAAGACTAGGGAGCTAGTATTGTTGCTTTTTTGCTACCCCGTGCGAGACTCAAACCCGACATGCAAGGAAGTGGAAAGGCCTCTTCCTTTCTGCTTTCTTGTGCCTTGGGTTTTAGCTGTGTTCAGAATTCACAGCTCGCCTGCATGCCTACTCTTTTGTTCACTGTGTTACTGAAGTTTTCTGTCGTTGCTGTCCCAGATTGGCTTCGTGGATGCACAGAAATACTCAAGGCGCTTGACGTCTGTGGCTCATCTGTATTGTTTTTCCCGGTACCACGGCATGAAGGAGCTGGCCTCCCTCCCTTCCATCAGCTGCGAGATACTACAAGCACTGGGCTACAGCTGCAGCTAGCCCATGGGTACCGTTCTGCGTCCTGTACTGCATCTAGTTCGAAAGGCCATGTGAAAGGCAGGTGTGGTCTTTATGGGCTCTGTCACTATGTGCATTTTCTGCAGCTTTTTCGGGGCAACTTCATATTAAGATTCAATACGGACTCGAGTGAGAGGGGGGCATTCTGAGAAAGCCAGCCTCTTTGTTAAACCATTGGGACTGGTATTATATCTACAGAGTTTATTTACACCTTTTGTTATGTACTTTTTTATTTATTTTTATTTTACTAGTTACTTATACTTCAATCTGACACGACAGCCACCAAAAATGGGGAAAGGACAAAAATGTTGACATATTGGCCTTTTTGTTTTCTGGCAGTTTGTTTGAAGAGCCAATGTTGGGGGCCGTCATTCGTGTTATTTTTCCCACACGCACGTCCAGCCTATGTTTACGTAAAGCCCCAATTGCCCCTTAGCAACAAAAATAATTTATGCGACAGACTAGGCGGCAGCATTGTGGACGAAAACAGGCCAGATTATATCTGCCATGTTTAAAAACTACATTCGGTGACAGGTTATGAATTCAGTGGCAAGAATGCACACCGCCTGCCAATCACTGCTGTCAGTTGTCGTGACGTCACGTCCTGCTAAGAAACTAGTATATATTTTTTTTAAATGGCAGGTTTTGGTTGCTGATGCCTCGTAGCACGTCAGCACTCTAAGCAATTCTTCTGCTCTTGGCCTCTCCGGTTTTACTTTGCAAAGTCATGACGGCGTCTGCTTTTGTTTGCGGTATTTCCCGTGTGTCGACGTGAGAAGGCAGCGATTGTATCGCCAAGGAAGTAGCGATCAATCTGCGCATTTATTCCAGCGGCACAGCGTTTACAAACCGGACTTTGCCCTTCACCGAGGGGAAAGTCTACCGACTGGCCCTACAGTTGGCGAGCATTGTGCAGCCGTGAGCGCGTAACTTGTCCGAATGCTTTCGTCTGTATACAGTGACAAAATGAGTCGCTGAAATGCGAAGTACCATACAGTACCATGCCGTACAGCAAACCATCGATCACTTGCTGCAGCAACTTTGCGTTTTAAGTCGTAATAATAAAGTGATTTTTAGGCTAAAATCATTTTTTCATACTGCTCAATTATTCGGAATTCTGCACGATCCCCATCGGGTCTGCAATATCGGTCGGTGGCTGTATAACCTTTAAACACAATGGTTACACACCACAGGTACCGGGGACCATGACATCAGTGAGCTGGCTTTCACCTTGTCCAAGGCAGCAGCGGAACACTACGGGCGGGACCCTGGATCACTGCACCATGGATGCCGTCCTGTACCCTGCACGGCACTGCGTGTGGCTTAAGTGGCCAAGCAGAGGGTCATTGCATGACTTTTATGAGGCGCCGCTAGCCATTGTAAGTACATTTTGGACACTCATGTCTGGTGATGTACTTTTGTGCTCTACCGCAGAGCACATTTGGTGGCGGGTTCAGTCTTGCCAATTACACCATTTTGAAACGGAACACATTTAGTGGTGGCTCGGTTTAGGTTTCCTGGCTCGGTGATCTTGCAACAGTGTCTAGACTTGGCGTAAACCTTTTTGTACTTCATTGTCAAGGCTAGTGTAATTTCTGCAATGCCGTTGAAGCCACTTCTGCACGCAAACAAGATAAAAGTCGAAGCCACATGCTCGTGCACAGTGTATGACTACATGTATGCATGGGCACTCGTGCCCATGCGTACCCACTCGCAACATGGAGCATGTTTGTTTCGGCCGACACTCCACGCGTTCATTTCGGCGTCGCC